GTTAGAATCGAGGATTAATGTAACGCTCCAAACGCTCACAGGCATGTGTCTTGTTATCGATCTGCAGCTTGTCAGGGTGTCTGGTCTCAGAGGAGGGCTGTGCAGCTTTGGCATCTGCTCTGAGCTCAAACTCCTCCCATCTGAAGCAGCTTGACCTGAGCTACAACCACCCAGGAAAGGAAGGAGTGAAGCTTCTCTCAGCTAGACTGAAGGATCCAGACTGTGAACTAAAGACTCTCAGGTATGAAGCAGAATCAGATAAAACCCACAGATCTCTTCAGTGACTACACTTAGATTGATCTTATAAAGTGAATCAGGCAGGTTGTAAAACCAATGAATGGGGGGGTGACGCATGGTAGACACTGATGATTTGACCCCTCCTCCTTTCAGGGCGGAGCCTGCCGGAGTTCAAATGCTGACACCAGGTCTGAGGAAGTGTAAGTAAACAGCAGCTCACATCCACCCATCTTCAATTCTATTCAGTTTATTTCTATAGCGCTAATTAACAACACATCATCTCAAGGCACTTTACAGATCACCAGATCATCCCGTCCACTGGACAGGATGATGTTTCCATGTTTTGAAGACGTTTGCTTCACATCCAGGAAGTTTTTCAATTCAAAATTTCAGAAATAGTGTGATGTCCGAGGCTTTATAGAGTGGACCACAAACAGAGCCTTTTTTTTGGCTTAGAAAACATGCAAATTTAACCGGACGAATGGATCCGTCCCTTAGGAATGGGGTCGTTCGGCTTCTTTGTTAGCCTAACAGAACTAACAGATTCTGCAGAGTGGGAGAATAGAGATAGAATGAAGCAGAATGATGAAGAAGGGGTCCCTATGTCCTCCTGCAGTCTAAGCCTATAGCAGCAGAACTATACAGATAGATCAGGATAACCTGAGCCACTCTAACTAGAAGCTTTATCAGAAAGGAAAGTTTTAAGCCTAGCCTTAAAAGTAAGCTAGGCTTCAATCTATTTATCAATCATTCAGGAATCAGAGTATCAATAATTGATCAATAACTGCAGCTGGATTGGGTTTGTTTTCTCCATCAGATTCCTGTCAGCTCACCATCGACACAAACACAGTGGACAAGAAACTGGAACTCTCTGAAGATAACAGGAAGGTGACCTACGTGGACGAGTTTCATCCTGATGATAACTACAGCCGACTGCACTGCATTAATACTCTGACTGGCCGCTGTTACTGGGAGTTTGACTGGGAAGGACATGTTGACATTTATGTATATTACGGAGAAAGAGAGGAAGACTGTGAGAGGGAGATACTTGAATGGGAGGAAGAGGCCTGGAGTTTGGGATGTTCTGATTATGGTTACTGCGGTTGGAATAGTAGCCAAAGGAGTCATTTATCCTTCATCGAGCAGCCCGTGTCTCACAGAGTGGCCGTGTACCTGGACTCCTCAGCTGGAACTCTGTCCTTTCTCAATGTGGGCTCCGATGGCCTGAGCCACATCCGCTCATTCAGCACAGCACTCTCTGAACCGCTTCGCCTTCATTTTGATTTCTATTTCTGTGATTCTACGGCGTCCTCCATAAGGACCCTCGGCCCACTCTGCTAGAGGAGCATTTAGACTACATTCACAAAATGTTTGCTACTGTTTTTGATACATCAGTTATTCAGAAGCTAAACTTGTCCTTACAGCCACAAAAGTGTTAACTTTTCATTTTTAAATCTTGTTTTCATCCATTTAAAAAGGTTTTCATATTCACTGCTTCTAAACTTTAAAATTTGTCTTCTAAATGTCCAAAGATTTGATGCCATAATGGAAATAAACTGTTAAATTGGTGTTAAAATGCAACAGTTGATTTTTCTTGATGATTTCCTGATCTACCAGGAGGTCGCCGTCCGGTCAGCAAGAAATAATCAATAGATCATTATTTATACCTAAAATTGATATGTTCGTTTGATTTAATGAATTCAGTGCTAAAAAAAATTTATTTTTCGTTGCGATCACTGAGTCTGGGAGCGGCCATCTTTGCCCAAATATAGTAGCCCCTCCCTCCTGCCATCTTCCAGCAGTGACGTCACGGTGCGGTAAGCCTAGCGCCATTCTCCCCGCTTTACAAGCTAAATCAATGGGAACTACTAGACACATCTGCAATCAACAACAATTATTGAAGATTTCCAGAGGACTTCACCATTGAAATTCACCAGAGCTATAGTGAAACTGACAATGCCCACGTGCATGGCAGCTGGATGCTGGAATACATCAGGGAAAAGTGAAAAAAAGAGTTATTCCACCTTTCTGATTCCTGATCCTCCACGGACGGGTTGGTCGTTGGATCGCCAACTTGAAGAGGGAGGATTTGCCATCGAACTTCTGGCCAGAGAAAAAACCCGTAATATGTAGCCAACATTTGGAAGAAGAATGTTTTCAAGATGACTTGGATAATAGCGCGTTGTGACAAACACCAGATACAGCACTGGGACTTGATCAACAGCCGATACTGCACCGTGACAATGTCACTAACCAGTAGGTGGCAGTAGTGTTCTTTGACAAACATGGATGCCTCCAGTAAAGCACATTCACATGAAAATGACTCTGAATTAAAAACACTGATCATTTATTGAACAGGATGATATCATCATCAGCAGGCTGTCAGTGGAGCAGAGGCCGTCTTCAGAGCCTCTGAAGGCAAAGAGGCGCGCATATTACAGACTTTACAGGAGAAAAAAATAAACGGCAAGATAAATGAAAGTGTAGGCCTAGGTTTTGAAGCCGAGAAGCAATCGATGTAACGACTTCAGAACCTTGGACCCAATATTCAAGCAGACAACATTCAGGACAGATTACAAAACAAGTTCAATTCAAAACTTCAGTGAGTGGCGGAACCTCAGCGGGGCGGATTACTGGATCCTCTGCAGAGACAGGAAACTCAGGTCAGTGACAAGAATGTCGAGCTAATCTCAACTATAGAAAAAGTCACTGACCTGGTTGAGAGTTCAGTCTGATTCCAAAGGGAGGAGGAATCCGGGGGGAGAATGTCCGCCGCTTGGGGTCGTTAACACTTCAGAGCCCAGGATGGAGAGGAGCTGGCACCAGCCGCCACTGAGGAAGCAACAGTGTCCATGAGGGATAATCCAAAGCCAAAGAAAAATCCAAACCAGGTAGACAGACCAGGAGATAAGAGAACCAAGGAGGTACCGAAGGAGAATCCAAGCTGTGGTCAGTAACACAGTCCAAGTTTGGTAACCAGCAAAATCCAGGAAGTCCGTCCAAAAAACAAACTGACAGGGCAGACTGGGATAAGGCAAAAACAAGAATGTCCAGAGGCAGAAACAGGTCAGAATCAGAATGTCAAACACTTGATGCTAGACTCAATCTCACAGAAACAGCTGGAATAATCTGGCCCTGATGGCTGGATAGCAAACAACATAAATAGCTGCAGGAACCAAGTGAAACAGATCAGTGATAATCAGACAGCGATGCAGGGCAGATGAAAAGGCCAACCATCAGCGGCCGGACCATGACATTCATACTAGAATATTTACGATCTATAGAAAAATGTATTTAGATTTGATATGGAAAACTAAAAGGCATTTCTCATGAAACCGTAATCCTGCATTGATTTTTAGCCAATTCATCACAGAACCTTGAAACTATTGTGCAAAAATGCCAACATTTACATATGAATACTATTCTAAAACCCTTAACAGACTTGAAATACAAGAAATAAAAGGTTTAACTTTTGAAGCCAGGGGGTACTGTGATGCCACCTTCACTTTGACTCAATTGATCACATGAACTGGAAGCTAATGAGCAAAAATGCTATTTTTATATAAAAATTAATAAAAAATAATTCAGGAGTTGAAATGCAAAAAAAAAAGGCCTACGAATTTTTTCTATCTATCTATCTATCTATCTATCTATCTATCTATCTATCTATCTATCTATCTATCTATCTATCTATCTATCTATCTATCTATCTATCTATCTATCTATCTATCTATCTATCTATCTATCTATCTATCTATCTATCTATCTATCTATCTATCTATCTATCTATCTATCTATCTATCTATCTAGACTCAGGTTGTTTCCTGTTTTTGGTCTTGTTATATTTTTATTTTAAACAGTAAAGGAAACATGCAGGTGCCGGGCTTACCTGTATGTTTCAGGCTAATTTTGATACAAAAATACAACAAATAAGTTTGAAAATGGAAACAATAAACCAGTATATATTATTATATATTTTCTATATACAACTAAAACACTTCATCCCCCTCAGGATGTTACAGATAATCTGAATGTTTCCTTTCTCAGCTGTTTAAAACTTGCTGACTTTAAATGAACACAATGTCTCCCTCTGCTGGTCAGAGTCCCTCACTGCAATGGTCACCTTCCCTAAATACAGACAATAAACTAGTTTATCAGCTTATTTTATTTCTCATCCATGTATTGAAGGTAGACTACAGAGTCTGAATGAAAGATCTTTGGGCCACAATGAAAAAAGGAAAATGTAAACAGACAAACAAAAATAAAGATATTTTATTTATCTTGGACGCTGCAGAGACCATCTACCTTATTATTAGCACTTGGTTTAAACTCCAGCATTTCTGATGGTGAATGAGGATAGGTTTGTAAAACAAAGTCAAGCAATTAATGAATCCTTGGATATTTTTACATGTATAAAGCGGCATGTTTCCATCCAGACAGTATCTCCTTTAGAGAATAGCGGGAATATTAAAGCACAGAAACATTAAACTGCATCTAACAGATGGCAGATCTTCTAACATCATCCTCAAAAAGCAGTTTGTCGCCTCTGATGTTCTGTTTTCTCACTTTTAACAGTTTTACTGGCGCTTAAAGAAATGTTTAAATGCATGTTTCATCACAACCAGACTGAGAGACCAGTTCCTGTAAAAAGGCCTTTCTGGGTTTCCTTCATAGATTCTGAGCAACAGCAGTTAAACTGCCAAACCGCAGTTGTTTTTCTGGTAAAGGTTCCTCTTTAGGCCCCGCCTCCATCACATGTTTAGCTCTGACTCATTCCAGGTAGCAGCTCACCTGGATCTCAGTCTCCCAGATTACACATCAACCGTCTTCATCACTTTGGGAAGTTTAAACAAAATGTAAGTTAATTTTTTTCCCTCATGGTTTAACTTTTATATCAATGTTTTTTTTTTTTTTTTTTACTTTTTACTGTGTGGTAGTTAGTGATGGTTAATGAGGCATCTTGAAGCCAAACTGTGTTGATGTCTCAGAATACTGACACCTGCTGGACATTTAGAGACACTACAGGCAGCTGATTGGACTGAACTGAATTAATTGGATGAACTAGTACAACGATATCATTGAAGCTATTGTAGGTTATATTCTATTATTTCATATCTATGTTTAAATTGAAAATATCTAATATTGTTATATGCAGCCAATAAATAAAGTGAACATTTATCATTACATGAACATTTAGGGGAACATGTGAATGAGGATACTGCTGGACTAGGATTTTATATCCTATTTTTAAAACAATAAGTAAAGCAAAAACAGTAAATAAACTAAGAGTGAATTTGAAAATGAACTTTAATTCAGATAAGTTGAGTGATAACTGAGAGGAAAAGGATGACACAACGTGAAAATTAAAATACAAATGCAGCCGCTGAAAGGTTCTTATTAATGTTAGGCTCCGAAATTCTGGATAATTTTAATGATAAACCTCAAAAGATGAGACATATTTTTTAGCAGATGCATCATGTTGACAGATACGTTTTTAAACCCACTCTAGTCAGTTAGAACCAACGTCTGGATCGGTCACATGACTTTCTGGAAACTTTGGGACTTTCTGGACCCATCACTAATCTTTGGCCAAACTTGTTTGTCACTTTTAAAGGAATGTTTGTTAATTAATAGCTGATATTTACATATTTTCATCTTTGAATAAAATTCATTTTTATTTGTTATCAGCAAACTGTCACCTCCACTATTTAGGTCAGATAAAACAGATTCCTATTTCCTCCCTGCTTGTTATTGTGGAGATGCAACAGGAAACAGTTTGACTGGTCTATTTTTATAGTCTGTGAGCTACAGCTTGTTCAGTCAGACTTTCCAGTCAGACTGGATTTGCTTAATTCTTTAGACGGGGATGTTTCCGTGCTGCTGTTAAAGATTCTCAGTCATCCAAAAAAGTTAAAAAACAATCCACTGGACTTTGTTTCCAGGTTTGAAGGCATTTCTCTTCCCATCCAGGAAGCTTTTTAAATTCAAAAAGTCAGCGATAGCATTGAGTTTTAGGTTTTATAGAGTGGACCAAAAACAAAGTCTTGATTTTCCTTAGAAATCCTCTAAATAGAAACGGATGAACGGGTCCCCCCCTTTGGAATGGGGGTCGTTTGGCTTCTTTGTTTGCCTGCAATGCCCCATACCTGTCTATGTCTCTGAAAGGGAGCTCCTTTCCCATTACAAAGGGGGGGACTCGTTCTTACGTTTCAATTTGAATGTTTTATAAGCCAAAACAAGGCTTTGGTTTTGGTCCATTTTAAAAAGCAGAGGTCATGGATTAGCGGACCACGGTCCGGATCCAGACCCACTTGCTGGCTAATCTGGACCCACCTGATTTAAAACATTTATAAATTACCGCATTTGTTGTCCGACGACAGCGTCTAATTTCCCTTGCGCCGCTTCTCCTGTTAATACGGTAAAGCGTCCGGCTCCAGGCTGCACGTGATCCAAATGAGCCAATGAGCTGTCAGTCTGGGTTGCTGCTGCTGCTACTTTTAGACACAGCAGGCAAACCTGTGGCAAGCCGGGCGATGGGAAAGAAGGAGAAGACCATGAGAAAAAGAGAGCAGAGAAAGTGTGGACTGCTGGAAGAACTGCGGTGAACTGGTGAAAGAAAAGTGAAATGGCGTGCTCAAAGATGACCCTGCACATTTAGAGGATGTTTGGCTCAACCTGCTGCTGTGAAGCAGGATTCTCCACCATGAACAGAATCAACAATAAATCTGGATCCAGGCTCAGAATGAGCACCTTGATATGTGCTTGAGAATGGCTTAGTCTCCGGTTAAACCCAGGTTTATGCATGCATAAAAACCTCATTTTATTTCAGTGTTAAATTCTGTTGAAAGTAACAGATTATAATTAAAAATGTCTACGGACCTTTACTGGTTGATGATTTTCTTTATTCAGACCCCTCTGATTTTCAATTGGTTAAACCAGATATAAAACCTGGAACTCAAGGCTATTTGTGACATTTTGAATTGAAAAAGCTTCCTGGATGGGAAGAGAAACGTCTGCAAACTTGGAAACAAAGTCCAGTGGATTGTTTTTTAACTCTTTTCAAATGTTTCAGTGTTGTTTATAAACTGAACTGCCAGGCAGTGTGTCTTACATAAGTTGTACCTAAACAAACATTTCTATGTATTCCTCCCAGCAGCTTATGTGAGCTGGAGTTAGCAGAGCATCATGCATCAGTGTGAGGCCAGAGAGGACCAGGCCCCTCCCTTCAGCACCGCTCTGTGTGGAAAACCTGAGGACCAGAGCAAAGGTCAAAGGTCAGACCACCGTCTCTAACTGGACTCTAAATATTACCCTGTGTTTACAATGAAATTAGTAAAAGAATATCTAATATCTAATCAATGTCTAAAAGATAACCGATGATAAAATAATATTTAATAGTTTCCTGTTTACACAGCATGACTTATAATGTGAGTTAAATGATTGCTGCTTAATCTAAGACAGAGAATTCATTAATATTTTATTTATTTAAAAGGTTTTAAAGTTATTTTAGTACCTAAAAAACTTCTAAACGTCAATCTAAAGATTCTTATATAAAACAGAGATATACTTTAAATATGTTCAAACGAAAAGTTAACAGATTATCACTGAAGTAACTCGGCCAAACTGACCGACTTGTTAAAGATCATCTAGATTTGTTCATTTAGCGAACTTCTAGCTGAAATCAGCCCAGGTTACTGCAGGTACCTGGACACCATGTGACCTCTGCCCGTCATCCCCTCACCACCACAATCACCCTCATCAGTAACGGCTGATTGAAGCTCTATAAATGCAGATCTAACTGGAATTTCTCCACATTTGGAAGCGTTTCACCGAAAGGAGATTCATTCTAGCTAATCTGAATCATTCAATTCCATTTGGAGATCATCTGTGGTAGCAGCACTAGACATCCTCCAGGCATGTGAGGAAAACTAGCAGCCGTTCAGCGGACAGGATGAATGAATGATGTCATACACGCGCCGCTTTGTTTTTAAAAGATATAAATCTAAAAGATATAACGGCGGATGTCTGGGGGCCAGTGATTGGCCTCCATGTTCTGAATGCTGGCGTACCATAAAGAATAAATGATGAACAGTTTAGTTTGTGCCTTCAAGTCGTTGCCCATAGGAAGACGTTACTGGATATAACCTAACGGAATATCTTCAGAACGGCTCCAAATGACACTAAACTCATATGGGTGATTAGAACATGATGGAATAACGGAAAATCAAGGACCAATGGAAAAAAAACGGAGTTCCCCTTTAAATTACCTTAACTTATTAGTTTTAGATATAGATAATAATCTATAGATTATTCCTTGCTGACCAGACTTTTCCTTTAAACATAATAAAAATGCATAAAGATCAAAGAGAAACTAGCAATTTCCAAAATGTTGAGCTAAAACAATTCCCCCTCCCATCACCAGACTTGCTCCGTTTTTCATTGTTCTGGTGAATTGTTCTAAATCAAAACTTTCTCATTAGTTTCGTTATTAATCTTTTACAGTAAAACCATGAATATTTGGATCAATTTCAAACATGAGCTACTGTGGAACATTTTAGAGTTCTATATTTAGGTGTTTAAGTTTAGATATCATATCAGACAATTTTAGTTTTTCCTCCAGGATCCAACAGAACCTCAATCCAGAAACAGAACCCAGACGTGTGTCCTTAAAGAGCGACTGGTCAATGAGTATTGGTTTTGATTTTAAATCTGACCAACCTTCAGCTGAAAAGAGGTGAGCTCTGTTGAATTGTTTAAACTGTATTGAACTGATCTGACTCCGTTTAAAATATTTTTGTTCCACGTTTTTATTGTAAACAAGGCTGTTTGTTCTTGCTAGATATTTTCATCTAATTCAGTCTCCAGTGAGTTCAAGACAAACTTTGTTGGAGGTATCGTGAAGATTCTCAGTAATCCAAGTCATGGTGAAACTTGACAGGTTCAGTTGAGGCAACTGGACGTGAAATTTTCTAGGAGACATTTCTCCTCTCATCTTAGAGGCTTCCTCATTTCTAACTGGTGGTGGGGAGCAGTGAGATCAATATACAGTAGGTGGAACAAAGAATTAGGGGAACAAAAGGTGGCTCTGATCCCTCCTACTGGCTGGGGAGGGGTTAAAGGTCATTAGGGGGTTCTGATGGGTCGATAACTCTCTCGTCAAAGTGATTTCGATCACATGCCTCATTAAGGTGTGAGTCAGGTGAGGGCAGGTGAGAGGTGAATCTTCTGGGTATGTTAGCAAATGTATTTTGTAAATAGGTGAAAGGTTATGTCTAAGTACACCTCGAGAGACCGGCGGTCAGCAGCAGGAACCTTGGAGGGCGCTGTCTCAGAGTCTCACAGTCTCAGATAAACCTTTCACCTAATTACTTTGCTCCATTCTCACGGCCGTCCTACAGAGTCTCTGCTTCGTCTTCGGCCTCATGGTCGTCCTCCAGAGTCTCTGCTTCGTCTTCGGCCTCATGGCCGTCCTACAGAGTCTCTGCTTCGTCTTCGGCCTCATGGTCGTCCTCCAGAGTCTCTGCTTCGTCTTCGGCCTCATGGTCGTCCTCCAGAGTCTCTGCTTCGTCTTCGGCCTCATGGTCGTCCTCCAGAGTCTCTGCTTCGTCTTCGGCCTCATGGCCGTCCTACAGAGTCTCTGCTTCGTCTTCGGCCTCATGGTCGTCCTCCAGAGTCTCTGCTTCGTCTTCGGCCTCATGGTCGTCCTCCAGAGTCTCTGCTTCGTCTTCGGCCTCATGGCTGTCCTCCAGAGTCTCTGCTTTGTCTTCGGCCTCATGGTCGTCCTACAGAGTCTCTGCTTTGTCTTCGGCCTCATGGTTGTCCTACAGAGTCTCTGCTTTGTCTTTGGCCTCATGGTCGTCCTACAGAGTCTGTGCTCTGTCTTCGGCTTCATGGTCATCGCCCATAGTCTCTGCCTCGTCTTTGGCCTCATGGCCATCCTCCAGAGTCTCTGCTTTGTCTTCGGCCTCATGGCCATCCTCCAGAGTCTCTGCTTTGTCTTCGGCCTCATGGCAGTCCGGACTGTGCTTTGTCCTTGTCCACCTTTGGTGGGTTGCTTTGTGTTTTGGTTTTGGACTCCTTAGGGCATTTGGTATCCACCTTTAAGAGGGGGGTTTTGTCATGATTCTGGTTTTTTCTGGACTTTTTGGTTCTGTTTATGCTTTTACTTTGGGTTTTCAGTTACATTTTATTGTGTGTCATTCTGTTTTCTTAGTCAGATTAATTTCCATTTAGTCTCATCCAAGTTATTTTCTTCTTATATTTAAGCACTGTTGTATTTCTTGTTTACTCTGTGCTGCCCCCTTGTGTCAGTCTCCTTCCCCTAGCTCCCTTCTAGATCCTTCTGTCCACACACGCTCCCGATTAGTTGATTACTCCATTCTTTGTTCTATTTTGGCATATATACTCCTTCTCTGAGCTTTCTCTACAAACCTCCACACAACCTGGCAGTTTCACTGTGTTTCTACCTGTGGGCTTTTGTGGTTATTTTATGCAGTAAACGATTTATTCCTCAGGCCAGATCCACCCTCCTTTGGTTAACATCTGAACGAAACAGATATCTTTGGTTGGTTATTAATAACTCTGCGGATAGCCATAGTCTAAATTACTATATTGGTGAAGGTAACTGGATTTAAACAGCCAGTCCAAGAGTACAACTTTGAGTAAAAGACTAAAGAACCTTGACCAATAAGTAGATATCAGATACAATTATTTAACTAATAATAATTAATTGGTTTTGCCCTCAGTTAGAATGAACTATTAATCAACTATATCTTCCAGTTCTAGGTATTTAATATATTCATAGTGTTTGGGTAAACTTGCACACCTGTTTATTTATTCTTTTAATTATCTATGGATGGAATATATTTGAAAATTACATGACAAAAATGTCATATTTAATGTCAAATAATCTTTTGCTTAAATGATTATCAGAATATCCTGCCTTGCTCAAGTAGAGACTTCCTCCCTGGGAACTTTATTCCCTGAATGAGTAAAGACCCATAAGAAGAGTAGAACACCTTATGGACCTTTGGTTTTGTCTGTTTTTGGTTCTATGTAATGAGAATTAATGCTTCCTGGTTCCTCCACAGCTGGGACCAGCAGATTTCACCAGTTACAAGTTCTCCAACTGCCAAGCAGAATCAAAACCAGCTGGAATCAATATTTGTGGTCTGTACACATAACAAATAATTGTTCCATGGATTTTGTTCACATTTATCTCCGTGCTGCACTTTACTGAACATACTGTCAGTTTGTCTAATGTGGATGTGATGTTTTGTTCCATGATCAGGTCTGTTTTTTGTCTTTCCTGGTTTTCTATTTTCAGCTGCTGGAGGGTAACATCATTGAGTTTGTGAAAAACGAGCTAAAGAAGATCCAACAGGTTTTGAGTTCATGTGACCTAGAAAGCACAGAGAGTCAATGGGAGGATGAGGATGGGCTGGAAGCCGAAGATAAAGAGCAAAGGAGGAGCAGCAGAGAAGCTTTTATGGAAATCACACAGAACTTCCTGAGGATGATGAAGCAGAAGGAGCTGGCTGAACGTCTGCAGAGAAGTAAGAAAGTTTCTGTAAAGATGAATCTCAGGATATGGAATCACTTTTATACAAATAATCCCCAGAAGATAATTGTGTTTAAAATTGTATATGTTTCATTCTTTAGTTTTAATGTTTCAAAGTAAATTATAATATAAATGATTATGAATTGAATACTAGTTAGCGAAATCGCTGCAGGTCTAAATTCTACTATTTAAGCAAATTTAGTACAGGTTTGTATCCATTTCAATCAAAAATACAAACAACTGCAAAATGATGGTTGCATAATGAAAATGAAATAATTTTCTAGGATTAGGATAATTAAATAGAGTAGTAGATGGAATATTGAAATAAGTAGCGTATATAGCAGAGTAGAAGGAGACATTGCTGCTATTAAGGTACATTCACACCGAATGTGAATCAAGCAATTAGGGTGAAGGAGCAACTTGAAGGGCAAGTTTTATCATTCAAAAACTCATAGGAGGTTGAACAGTTTCCCTGCAGCAGCAGAGCCCCCACCTGCGTCCTGAGCCAATGCAGATGGTGTTGCTTAGCATTATACTTCAAAATGGTCCCATTGACTCAGAAAGCAGATACAAGCTCCTCCTGCTTAATTACATGATGTAAGCTTGACTGGATATTCACAGAGGCAACTTTATTTTTTTGCTGATTTTGCTTTCTCATAACTGAATTACACAGATCTGTAACTCCAGTGTTATCCAGTCAAAATAAAATATCTATGTTGGAAATCGTGATAAAACACCTTGCCATAATACTTTGGACTTGTGTTGCATTTTATATTTAAACAAATCCCAAAGTGCTACATAGTAAAACATGTAAATGCTAAATAAAAATACATGGAGAAATAAAAAGTAAAACAAAATGTAAAATAATCAAAGACAAAAAAAAAGAAGGTGGGAAAGTTCAATTAAAAGCTCTCTGGGTTTTAAGGCCACGTTTAAAAGCATCCACAGTCTGTGGGGTCCTCAGGTGGCCAGGGAGAGCGTTCCATATCCTGGGAGCAGCTGAAAAGAAAGCCTGATCTCTCATTGTACGAAGCTCTGTCCTTGGTGGTTTCAACAGATATGTTGCAGTAGATCAGTTACGTGTTGAGCTCTGTGGGGTGAGAAGTTCCTCAAGGTATGGTGGGGCATCACCATGGATGCACTAAGGAGGGAGACCTTGTATTCAATTCTGAGTGCGACAAGAAGCCAGTGAAGTGATTTGAGGAAGGGGGTAATATGAGGAAGCATTGCATTGCAAATCATTTGTGACCAGGAGCTAAGTTGTCAAGCAACCACTGCTAGGTAAACTATGCAGAAAATTTGTCACATTTGGTGTAAACGTACCTTTAGTTAGGCGGCACTCCTGATCAGTTTTTGTCAGTCACTTCTTATCACTTTTATGACACATTGACCAAAACTTAGACTCAACTTTATTCATCCTTTGGGATTACTCCTTCAGGGAAATTCGGGTTCCAGTAGCTTATATAGAGTACAAAGGACAGCGTTAAAGCAAGATGCCATTAAAGATAAAAATACAAAAGACAATATAAAAAGAGTGCATATAGTACAAAAAAGCATTAAAAAATTGTTGTGTCCTGGAATATGATTTCTTTACATATACAGTAGCTGACTTGGATTATTGAAAGCTGAACAGAGGGGGTGGACTCAGGTTTCCGCTTTCAAAAACCTACAATTCAGCGATTGAGTTGATTCCTTCCTATCATCGCAGCCCCAACCCCATTACAGGAGAACAGAAGACCTCGCCTATTCAGCCAGGCCAACAATCCCCTTTAACTACCCCCTTTTCAGAGACATAGACAGGTATGGGGCATTGCAGGCTAACAAAGAAGCCTAACGACCCCCATTCCAAAGGGGGGGACCCGTTTATCCGTTTCTATTTGCATGTTTTCTAAACAAAAACAGAACCTTTCAAAAGGGAAAAAACCTACTTCAAATGCAGAAGGTCTTTGCATTGTTATTGAGCTCCACAGTAGTTTGTTATGAGTTTTAGAGAGTTTTTAGGTTTGCTGCTTTTAGTACTCGTGGTCTCCTGCTCGCGGGGGCAGCAGGCTAAGCAGAGACTCCCAGACTTCCCTCTCCGCTTCCAGGCTAGTCGAGAGACATAGTCTCTCCAGCATGTCCTGCGTCGTCCCCTGGGCCTCCTCCCAGTGGGACGTGCCTGGAACACCTCCCGAGGGAGGCGTCCAGGGGGCATCCGAAAAAGATGTCCGAGCCACCTCAACTGACTCCTCTCGATGTGGAGGAGAATCGGCTCTACACTGAGCCTCTCCTGAATGGCCGAGCTCCTCACCCTGTCTCTAAGGGAGAGCCCAGCCACCCTGCAGAGAAAGCTCATTTCAGCCGCTTGTATCCGGGATCTCGTTCTTTCGGTCATGATCCAGATTTCATGACCATAGGTGAGGGTTGAAACGTAGACCGACCGGTCTACGTTTCAACCCTTGCCTTTTCGCTCAGCATTATTGCAGCAGCCACACCGATCCGTCCATCGACCTGCCGCTCGATTCTTCCCTCACTCTTGAACTGGACCCCAAGATACTTGAACTCCTTCACTTGAGGCAGGGACTCTCCTCCAACCTGAAGGAGACAAGCCACCTTTTTCCGGTCAAGAACCATGGCCTCGGAATTGGAGGAGCTGATTCTCGTCCCAGTCGCTTGACACTCGGCTGCGAACCACCCCAGCGCACACTGTAGGTCCTGGCAGGAGGGAGCCAGCAGAACTACATCATCCGCAAAAAGCAGGGACGAGATCCGCTGGTCCCCAAACCAGACCCCCTCCGGTCCTTGGCTGGGCCTAGAAATCCTGTCCATAAAAGTTATGAACAGGACCGGTGACAGAGGGCAGCCCTGTCAGAGTCCAACATGCACTGGGAACAGGTCCGACTTAATGCCGGCAATGTGAACCAGACTCCTGCTCCACTTGTACAGAGAATGGATGGCCCCTAATAAAGGGACCCCGACTCCATACTCCTGGAGCACCATAGGCCTTTCCGGGAAGGCTGAGAAGTGTGAATCCCCGATAGTTGGAACACACACCTCCGGTCGCCCTTCTTGTGGAGGGGAACCACCACCCCAGTCTGCCAATCCAGGGGAACTGTCTCCGACCTCCACGCGATGTTGAAGAGACGTGTCAGCCATGACAGCCCGACAACATCCAGAGCTCTAAGATACTCAAGACGGATCTCGTCCACCCCCGAAGCCTTGCCAGCGTGGAGTTTTTTGTACCACCTTGGTGACTTCAGCCTGGGTGATGAATGGCGTGTCTGTGGGGTTGAGGAGATCCTCAAAGTATTCCTTCCACCGTACAACAATATCCTCCTTCAAGTAAGCAGCTCCCCACTCCCACCGAAAACGGTGTTAGTGAAGCACTGCTTTCCCCTCCGGGGGCGCCGGACGGTTTGCCAGAATCGTTTTGAGGCCAACTGATAGTCTTTTTCCATGGCCTCTACGAACTCCTCCCAGGCCCGAGATTTTGTCTCTGCAACCACCCGGGCCGCGACACGCTTGGCCTCACGGTACCTGCTTGCTGCTTCAGGAGTCCCACAAGCCAGCCAAGCTCAATAGGACTCCTTCTTCAGCTTGACAGCATCCCTTACTATCGGTGTCCACCACCGGGTTCGGGGATTGCCACCACGACAGGCACCGCAAACCTTACGGCCACAGCTACGGGCAGCCGCATCGGCAATAGAGGCAGAGAACCTCTCTCGGAACCTGAGAGAAGCTCTTCCGGAGGTGGGAGTTGAACAGGTCCCTGACCAAGGGTTCCACCAGACATTCCCAGCAGACCCTCACTACTCGTTTGGGCCTGCCGAGTCTTTCAGGCTTCCTCCTCTTCCAGCGTATCCAGTTCCCCACCAGGTGGTGGTCGGTGGACAGCTCCGCCCCTCTCTTCACCCGAGTGTCCAAGACATGTGGCCGAAGATCAGAAGATACTACTACAAAGTCGATCATCGACCTTCGGCCTAGGGTGTCCTGGTGCCAGGTGCACCGATGGACATCCTTATGCCTGAACATGGTGTTCATTATGGACAATCCGTGACTTGCACAGAAGTCCAATAATGAGACACCACTCGGGTTCAGAGCTGGGGGTCCGTTCCTCCCGATTACGCCCCTCCAGGTGTCACTGTCATTTCACATGTGGGCATTGAAGTCTCCCAGTAGAATGATGGAATCCCCAGTAGGGGCGTTTTCTAACACTCTCCCCAGGGATGCTAAGAAGGCCTGGTACTCCGTACTGCCGTTCGGCCCATAGGCCAAACAACTGTCAGAGTCCCCCCTTCAACCCGAAGGCGAAGGGATGTGACCCTCTCATCTACCGGGGTGAACTCCAACACGAGACGGCTGAACTGGGGGGCCCCACCCCCACCCCTGCCCTCCGCCCCTCCCTGCGGGTCACTCCAGAGTAGAAGAGAGTCAAGCCTCTCTCAAGGAGCTGGGTTCCAGAGCCCCGGCTGTGTGTGGAGGTGAGCCCAACTATTTCTAGCCGGTATCGCTCCACCTCCTGCACAAGCTCGGGCTCCTTCCCTGTCAGTGAGGTGACATTCCACATCCCCAGAGCCAGTTTAACCGCCCGCGGATCAGGTCGCTGAAGTCTCCCCCTTTGGCTGCCGCCCAATCCTCTTTGCACCGGTCCCTCATGGTTCCCCCTGCAGGTGGTGGGCCCACTAGGGGATGGCCTCGCATTGCTCCTTCAGGCTGGGCCCGGCCAGGTCCCGTGAGGAAGAACCCGAACACCAGGCACTCGCCGACGAACCCCAACCCCAGGCCTGGCTCCATGGTGGAGTCCCTGCTCCGCCGTACCGGGCAATGTCGCGTGCCTCGATGTGGTCCTCGTCATAAGGGTTTTTGAACCGCTCTTCGTCTGTCATGTCACCCAGAGCCTGTTTGCCTTGGGAGACCCTACTAGGGGCATTTAGCCCCCGGCAATATAGCCTCTGGGATCACCCAGGCACTGAAACCCCTCCACCACGTTAAGATGCTGCTTTTAGTTTGAGGTAAAATAAGAAGCCAAAAAAGACAAACAAAAATGAACCATACACAGATTTGTTTTCTGATTTTGCTTTATTTTTTTTTTTATTTAGAACATTTTGCTTCAGTCTGTCAACATAAATTAAAGTCTGGTCTAAAGAAGAGGTTCCAGTGTGTATTTGAGGGGATCGCTAAAGCAGGAAACCCATCTCTTCTGAACCAGATCTACACAGAACTCTACATCACAGAGGGAGGGGCTGGAGAGGTCAATGATGAACATGAAGTCAGACAAATTGAAACATCATCAAGGAAATCCAGCAGACCAGAAACAACAATCAGACAAGAAGACATTTTAAGATCACCACCAGGAAGAGATCAACCAATCAGAACAGTGATGACGAAGGGAGTGGCTGGCATTGGGAAAACAGTCTTAACACAGAAGTTTGCTCTGGACTGGGCTGAAGGCAAAGCCCACCAGAACATCCAGTTCATATTTCCATTCACCTTCAGAGAGCTGAATGTGCTGAAAGAGACAAAGTTCAGTTTGGTGGAACTTGCTCATCACTTCTTCACAGAAACCAAAGAAATTAGCAGCTTTGAAGACTATCAGGTTCTGTTCATCTTTGATGGTCTGGATGAGAGTCGACTTCCTCTGGACTTCACCAACAATGACGTCCTGACTGATGTTACAGAGTCCACCTCAGTGGATGTTCTGCTGACAAACCTCATCGGGGGGAAACTGCTTCCCTCTGCTCTCCTCTGGATAACCACACGACCTGCAGCAGCCAATCAGATCCCTCCTCAGTGTGTTGGCATGGTGACAGAGGTCAGAGGGTTCAATGACCCACAGAAGGAGGAGTACTTCAGGAAGAGATTCAGAGACGAGGAGAAGGCCAGCAGGATCATCTCCCACATCAAGACATCTAGAAGTGTCCAGATAATGTGTCACATCCCAGTGTTCTGCTGGATCACTGCTACGGTTCTGGGGCATCTGTTGAAGATCCAAAAGCAAGGAGAGCTTCCCAACACCCTGACTGAGATGTACACCCACTTCCTGGTGGTTCAGACCAAAGTAAAAAAGGTCAAATACGATGGAGGATATGAGACAGATCCACACTGGACCACAGAGAGCAGGAAGATGATCAAGTCTCTGGGAAAACTGGCTTTTGATCAGCTGCAGAAAGGAAACCTGATCTTCTATGAATCAGACCTGACAGAGTGTGGCATCGATATCACAGCAGCCTCAGTTTACTCAGGGGTGTTCACACAGATCTTTAAAGAGGAGAGAGGGCTGTACCAGAACCAGGACAAGGTGTTCTGCTTTAACCATGTAAGTGTTCAGGAGTTTCTGGCTGCTCTTCATGTCCATCTAACCTTCATCAAGGATGGAGTTAATCTAATGGAAGAACAAAAAAAGAGGAATAGACATTTGAAGAAACCAAATCTAAACTATGTCCATCAGAGTGCTGTGGACAAGGCCTTACAGAGTCCAAATGGACACCTGGACTTGTTCCTCCGCTTCCTCCTTGGTCTTTCCCTTCAGACCAATCAGATTCTCCTTCAAGGTCTGCTGACACAGAAAGGACAAATCTCACAGACCAATAAGGAAACAGTTCAGTACATCAAGAAGAAGATCAATGAGAATCTGTCTGCAGAGAAAAGCATCAACCTGTTCCACTGTCTGAATGAGCTTAATGATTGTTCTCTGGTCCAGGAGATCCAACAGTCTCTGAGTTCAGGAAGTCTTTCCACAGATAAACTGTCTCCTGCTCAGTGGTCAGCTCTGGCCTTCATCTTACTATCCTCTGGAGAAGATCTAGATGTGTTTGACCTGAGAAAATACTCTGCTTCAGAGGAAATTCTTCTCAGGCTGCTGCCAGTAGTCAAAGCTTCCAACAAAGTTATGTAAGTATTGACAATATCTGTATTTTTAACCAGGAGCTGAAACCTCCAGTAACTATCATCCTGAATATACTGAGCAACAACTATGTGTATGAAAGGCACTATTAATCTAGTAGTAAAGAACTTGTTCAGTTAGGGTTTTTTTAGGAAAATGTAACATAAAATGAATTTGTTATGCATTTTATACTAGAGCTGATCTAAAGTTAATGTATTTACTAACTTTTGTTTCAATTTTTAGTTCATTATCTGTTATACGTATTAACCTCATATTTTGTCAAAGGGAAGGTTCGCAATTATATTTTTTAGCTATGAGTTGTTAAATATTATCATACTAAGCAGTTCTATTGTGCTTCTAGGCTGAAATTAGCCTTTTTAATCCATAAAAAAATTAGCTGATATTCATATCTGTGTCTGTGTCTTCAGACTGAATGACTGTAACCTCTCAGAGAGAAGCTGTGAAGCTCTGGCCTCAGTTCTCAGCTCCCAGTCCTCTAATCTGACAGAGATGGACCTGAGTAACAACAACCTGCAGGATTCTGGAGTGGAGCTGCTGTCGTCTGGACTGAAGAGTCCAAACTGCAAACTGGAAACTCTCCGGTCAGAAAACATAAGGAAAAACTTAAATTCAATTTCCACCACTATTTTAATTTTACATTTTTTCCTCAGAGGAGGAATATTCTTTTCTCATATAACAAACACCTGCTGGAGGTTTTATAAAAATAGTCGATTTTTTTTCCTGCTTAATTTATGCAGATTAAAACATCATGTAAAGCTAAAGAAGGTCATGGAACTTAAACATTTTCTAAATTACTTTTTACAATTTTAGGTTTTTAAATGTATTAAATGAATTTTGGATTTTAAACTATTCAGGAGCTTCCTCTACCTTAAGATTGTTTTAATCCATCATATTTTTCTAATTTATTTCCTCCTGTGTGCAGACTGAACAACTGTAACCTCTCAGAGAGAAGCTGTGAATTTCTGGTCCCAGTTCTTGACTCTGAGTCCGCTGTCCTGAGACATTTGGACCTGAGTAACAACAAGCTGCAGGATTCTGGAGTGTTGCTGCTGTCGTCTGGACTGAAGAGTCCAAACTGCAAACTGGAAACTCTGCGGTCAGAAAACATAAGGAAAAACTTAAATTTAATTTCTACCATAATTTATATTTTACTACTTTTTCCTCAGAGGAGAAATATTTATAGATCTTATCATCTCGTTCACTCTTAATAGTAAAGTAACATCAGCTAATGTTTCCCTTTTAACTAACATCTGTTGGAGGTTTTATAGAAATAATAGATTTTTTCCTGCTTAATTTATGCAGATAAAAACATCATGTAAAGCTAAAGAAGGTCATGAAACGTAAACATTAGCTAAATTACTTTTTACAATTTTTGGTTTTTAAATAAATTAAATAAATTTTGGATTTTAAACTGTTCCAGAGCTTCCTCTACCTTGTTTAAGATTGTTTTAATCCATCATATATTTCTAATTATTTCCTCCTGTGTCTCTGCAGACTGAGCAAATGTAACCTTTCAGAGAGAAGCTGTGAATTCCTGGTCTCAGTTCTTGGCTCCCAATTCTGTAATCTGAGAACGATGAGCCTGAGTAACAATAAGCTGCAGGATGGAGGAGTGGTGCTGCTTTCTTCTGGGCTGAACAACTCAAACTGCAAACTGGAAACTCTCAGGTCAGAACTGTTTTCTCTCTCTAATAAAAAAATGTATCACAAATAAAACAGTTCAAAAAGAACCGCCGGATTTAAAGTCAAGCTGAATCTCAGAAAATCTCACTCAGCAAATAGCTTATCATTCAGCTGAAAACATTTTGTTGAGATATAAGAAAAATGCATTAAGTTCAAAGATATCAGATCAAACATTCTTCATTAATTTATCATTCATTGAGTTCATTTAAATCATCAGAGTGTTCAGAATTTAAGTGCTTAGTAAAATACTGAAGAAAAATCAAAGTAAGTTGCACAATTCAGGTTCTGTATACAAAACAAGCTGTTGTCTTATCAGGGGACCCAAAAAAGGTTCTAAATGCAGAAATTTGTCATTAGTTAATAATATGAGCCATTAACTAAAATTCATCTTGTAAACCAAGCCCCATAACCCTCAAAATTTAAGGAAAACTCTTAAACTTAAGTCAAACATTGTCATGATTTTCTTAAGGGATCTGACCCACATGCAGTAAACCACTCAGAGAAACCAGGGTAAAAGTTTAACAGGTTTATTGAGGAGATGAACGGGTTTAAATTCAGGAAACTCAGGGTACAGGTGAACCGGAACTGGAAGTGGGAAGGGAAGTATCAGAGGTTAGTTCAGGGTCCGTGGGAACTTTGAACGATGACTTTGGAGAAACAGAGTAAACGGGACTCATGTCAGTTGAGAAAACTTTCTTCCCAGAATCCAGTCTTGTGTGGGTTTATCAAAGGGAGGAACTCTTTGGAGGGCGGACAGTTTTTGATTTGGTTTCTCAGGCACTATGGAGCGGACTGTCACTTGGAATCCAGGAGGACTTGAACGGAACTTGTGGAGATTAACCCCCTGCTCAGTGTGAGACTCAAACAATCCTTCCAGGGGAAGAAGGCCAAAAACATCTATGTACAACTTTTAACAAGAGTCTATGAGCAAACATTTTTGCGCCCCGGCGGAAATACGTCACCAATCCAACAATGAACGAAACAGCTTAACAGTCATTAAAGCGGTCATAGAATGATTCTATAGGGTATCTGGTCCTTCAGGTCTCTAATAGGGTGATAGAATGATTCTATAGGGTATCTGGTCCTTCAGGTCTCTAATAGGGCGATAGAATGATTCTATAGGGTATCTGGTCCTTCAGGTCTCTAATAGGGTGATAGAATGATTCTATAGGGTATCTGGTCCTTCAGGTCTCTAATAGGGTGATAGAATGATTCTATAGGGTATCTGGTCCTTCAGGTCTCTAATAGGGTGATAGAATGATTCTATAGGGTATCTGGTCCTTCAGGTCTCTAATAGGGTGATAGAATGATTCTATAGGGTATCTGGTCCTTCAGGTCTCTAATAGGGTGATAGAATGATTCTATGGGGTATCTGGTCCTTCAGGTCTCTAATAGGGTGATAGAATGATTCTATAGGGTATCTGGTCCTCCAGGTCTCTGAATAGGGTGATAGAATGATTCTATAGGGTATCTGGTCCTTCAGGTCTCTAATAGGGTGATAGAATGATTCTATAGGGTATCTGGTCCTTCAGGTCTCTAATAGGGTGATAGAATGATTCTATAGGGTATCTGGTCCTTCAGGTCTCTAATAGGGTGATAGAATGATTCTATAGGGTATCTGGTCCTTCAGGTCTCTAATAGGGTGATAGAATGATTCTATAGGGTATCTGGTCCTTCAGGTCTCTAATAGGGTGATAGAATGATTCTATAGGGTATCTGGTCCTTCAGGTCTCTAATAGGGTGATAGAATGATTCTATAGGGTATCTGGTCCTTCAGGTCTCTAATAGGGTGATAGAATGATTCTATAGGGTATCTGGTCCTTCAGGTCTCTAATAGGGTGATAGAATGATTCTATGGGGTATCTGGTCCTTCAGGTCTCTAATAGGGTGATAGAATGATTCTATAGGGTATCTGGTCCTCCAGGTCTCTGAATAGGGTGATAGAATGATTCTATAGGGTATCTGGTCCTTCAGGTCTCTAATAGGGTGGGTAACATTGGTTGGCCTGAAAATGGCATATTAGCTGTTCTATGAGCCCTAATGCAGCCTGGTTAAAAGCCCTAGAATGAAACGACAGGTTTTCTTCTTTTTATGGTATGATAATGAATATTTAGATGAGCTGTGCTCTGATTGGTTGGTTTACAACGAGCATAGCTGCTGAGCAAAGACACATCATAGCAACAAACACTCACTCACTGAAACATCAGATTGTTGATATCATAGGGTGACTGGACGTCCTCTTTTTCACGGATACGTCCTACTTTTCCTTAAATACCTTAAAAAAATGTCCAGGGGGAATTTTGGTCGACTACAGTGCAGCACATATTCGAACCCCGGAGCCAGCGGGGAGCGACTGAACCAGACCCGGTGGGCCTGGACAACGGAGGCCCCGTGTTTCATACCATCACCGGGTCGGGTTCGGTCACTCCGCCCCCCACTGGGGAACAGTATGGAAGGCGTTCAGCATTCTAATACAGATTAAAAACCTGATTTTCAGACTTTCATTTCTGGTTCAACCAGGTCTAGTTTTTGCAATAACGAAATATAAAGCATCTCTTTTAATCGCTAGAATAAAAAAGAGGCATAGTCATTTTTCCAATTTTATTTTATTTTTAAACTGAATAATTGGGGATTATTGCTTTTTTTATTTTGAAAATAAAAAGCAAATAACAAACCATGTCAAATTTATATTTTGCTGCTTGTTCTAAATAACAAATTTATTTTATTTGGTAACTTTATTTGTCTTGTGTAATACTAATTATTTCATTGAATGTTAATCCGATTTTCTCTTATTTCTATGTATCTATTTTCAGGTTAAATAATTGTAAACTCACAGGGAGAAGCTGTGAAATTCTGGCCTTGGTTCTCAGCTCCCAGTCGTCTAATTTGAGAAAGATGGACCTGAGTAACAACGAGCTGCAAGATTCTGGAATTGAGCTGCTGTCATCTGGACTGAAAAGTCAAAATTGCAAACTGAAAACTCTAAGGTAAAATATGGCATAAAAAATGAGAATTAAATGGATCATAACATTTTGTTCACTTTTGAATAGTGCTTCAGGAACTCATCATTTTACTTGTACCCATCATCATCTGCTGGACTGGGGAGGAGAAGCAGTCTCTCCACAGACTCCCTCTCTAGCACTTCACTCAAGGCGTTCCAAGGCTAGCTGACAGTTGCTCCAGCAAGTCCTGGTTCTTCTGCTGGGCCTTGTCCTACTGGGAGATGCATGGAACAGATCCTCTTGAGGGGAATCCAAAGAGATGTCTGACGCAGCTTAGCCTTCTCCTCTCCACGTGGAAGAGAAGTGATTCATGTCAAGCCTGTCCTGGATCACCAAGCTCCTCAATCTCTCTCTGTTCTTTCAGTGAAGATCCAGGTTTCATGACCATGGTTGAGGGTAGAAACGTAGATCGAACAGTTAATAGAGAGCTTTGCCTTTTAGCTCAGTTCTCTCTTCATCACAACAGATCGTTAAGAAACATAAACTTCTACACTTCTCTTTCTCCTCCAACCTGAAAGGGACAAGTCACTTTTAATCCTGTTGACAGCCGTTGCCTTGGACTTGGAGGAGCTGATTCTCATCCAGGCAGCATCATACTGTGCCACAAACCTCCTCAGTGCATGCCGTAGCTGAGCCTAGAAATCCAGTCCATAAAGGTTATGAATTGGAGCTGTAACAGCCCTGCTAGAGTCCTGCATGCATCGGACACTTTTCAGACTTCATGCCGGCAAAGTAGACCAAACTCTTGCTCTGCTTGTATAGAGATTGGATGCCACCCCCCCTCCACAGAAAGCACTGGCCTCTCATGGCTCCCCCAGCAGAGGGTGGGCCCTGTGGGGGAGGAACTTGGATTACTCCTTCAGGCTTGTCCTGACTGGATCCCACAAGGAGAATCCGGACGTAATCTTCATGAGGCTTTATGAACTGCTCTTTGTTTGACTCCTTACCAACTGCTACTTTACTTTGGTAGATGCTATTCATGGCATTTAAGTCCCCACAGATTAAAATATCACTCCAAGTTTAAGCAGGTTTTATAACATATAAAATGTTTTTTTTAAGATCCATTGTACTGCTTTTCAGTGTCTCAATTCAGAATTTATCAGTTTCCTCCAACTCTGTTAGTACTAAGATGTTTTTTATTTAGTTTTAATTGATCCAATCTTCTCTCCATTTCTGTCTCACTCTTTTTTAGATTGAATACATCTGACCTCTCAGAGAGAAGCTGTGAAGTTCTGGCCTCAGTTCTCAGCTCCCAGAGCTCTAATCTGAGAGAGATGGATCTGAGTAACAACCAGCTGCAGGATTCTGGAGTGAAGCTGTTTTCTTCTGGACTAGAGAGCCCACACTGCAAACTGGAAACTCTCAGGTCTAATTTGTTTTGTTGTCTTTATCGGTTAGTAAAGAATGTATTAATGGTTACAATATCATGAAGGCACAGAAGTTAAGTAATTTTAGCATTATTGTCCTTCACAGTGACAGCAACAAATATTTTGAGTACATAACTTGGTCTATTTTCTGTGCAGTGCATAAACAACTTCAAACCTTGTAAGACCAACTGAGAAGTTTTCTGACCTGATCTAATTTTAATCCTACAATCTGTAGTGAACATTTTTCACCATATGTTCAAGCAGACCTATTTTGTCTTCTGTACTATAAGGTTCTATGGTTGCTACTTGCATTTGATCTTTACTGGCAGTTACCTGCTCTGGAGGCTATAACTGCTGTTGAGGAGCTAAATTGATGACAAAGATCTCAATAATAAAAAGACAGAGACAAATGATGGGTCAACTGGAGCCAGACATTACAGAGACTCTACCGAATATGAAGTTACCATAAAAACTGTTGGGGCTCAAAATGGTAGAATTCTCTAAGAACCAAATCAAGACACTGGAGACGATTCTCTTCATTTGCTCAAAATCAGACGGGGGAAAAAAAAGTTTGACAAGTCGAATCCAACATGCTGTGTCCAAAACAATCACAAATACAGCTATTAGTTTAAAGATTGACCAGACAACAGTTGTACGGTGAGGCAGCATTCTGTAGCTCAGTTAGGAGCAGTGGGATGACCCTGGCAGAGAGTATTCAGATTGGGGCAGATGTGGCTGGTTTTGCCCGACTAAGAGTTAACAGTGGAGGATTGAAAAAGATTTGGACTAGCTCTTATTTTGATGCTTTAGGACATGACATCATTTCCTAGGAAGCACTTCTTCTCTGTAGTTTATGCAGGTTGTCCGTAATGCTGATCAGCCTCGTATGTGTTCATGCCTAGAATTACAAAATTAAAGTTTGCATAGAAGTCTCTCTGTGCCCATACTCTCTGATCAGAGTCCCTGTCCTAATGCTGTCAGATCAGCAATTAACACCCAGAGTCCTGATTCTACCACAGTCCCCTTCAGGAATCTCTGAATCACGTTACCAAGGAAACAAATGACTGAGGTCCAACAGTTTTTATGTCCAGATAAAATCTGTTTGTTCTATTCTGACTTGTTTCATTTTGTCTCTCAGACTTCAATCCTGTGGCCTTTCAGGGAGAACTTGTGAAGTTCTGTCATCAATTCTGAGCTGCAAGTCCTGCCATCTGAGAGACGTTGACCTGCAGAACAACAAGCTCCAAGATTCAGAGAATGTCCTTTCTGATTCAGACTGGAAAATATTCAGGTGAGTGTTGGGTTAAAAAATGTAGCTTGCAGCAATGCTGAGTTATTTTAACACATGCTAAATCTTGAACCTGGGGTTTTACATCAAACAGAATTTTATAAGGCTGTTTCTATAGTTGGAAAAAACGACATGGAGCAGAAATGCTAAGCATGTTGCATAAAACACAGAAGGATTTAGTTGCAAAACCATTACATGTATTATTCATACAGCCTTCATTCCCCCCAGTGTGGGGAAAATTGCAATGCCTAATTTTCCATCAAGTCTCATCCTAACAGATTGGATTGGTGATATTACTACAAAAACATGCAACCTTGCAACCTTTTTCCTGTTTGAAGGTCTTCTATTTCTATTGCCCTTGACATACATTCCTAGGATGTTTGATTATTTGCTGATTTTACAAAAATTAGCCTTTTAGATGGTTTTAGCATTTACATTATCTTGCTGCTTTTAGCTCTGGAGTAATGCTGCGTTCACACCGGACGCAGCTGGCGCGACAGAAGCAGCGAGTTTTCATACAAAGTCAATGGTTGACACGCGTCAAGGCGCAGCAAAAGGTCCCGCGGCGCGTTTTGAGCAGCAGGCGCAGCGCGTCTGAGCAGCTGAAGCAGCGCATCAGGCGCAGCGCGTCTGAGCAGCTGAAGCAGCGCATCAGGCGCGTTTAAGCATCTGACGCGCGTGGCGCACCGCAAATGCGCTGCTGCTCGAGATGGAAAAACTGAATTTTTGCTGCTCGACGCGCTGCGTCAACCAATCAGAGAAGCTGCCAGAGCAGCAAAGCTGCTTCAGCCGCGCGTCAGAACTAACTGGTACAAGCAGCAAAAATGAAGCAGCAAACGCGATTTTGCTGCTTTTGCTGCACCCGGTGTGAACGTAGCATAACTTCCCCCTGCAGCATGTACATCTTTTCACCACTCTCTCTTTGTCTGTAGGCACCAGCACTAATTGCATTTTCCTTAACATCTCTGCCTAATAAATTAACTGGACAGTCTGGGCTTAACACAAAATCAGTTTCCACTGTGGATCCCTCTTCATCAGTGACCAATTGTTTTTCCCCTGTGATCATCGGCCCCTCACTTGAGCCCAATCATGGTCCAAACTACACTTCATAGCTTTTTCTATGTTTTAGCTTGCACAATCCACTTATTTAACCCCTCTAATTTTTTTTATTCCCTGTATGTAGCTTGCATGACTAAAATAATTTTTTGCCGGGTTAATTATTTTTAATATTTTGGTTCTGCACCTAATAGTTTTAGAGACCCTGCAGGCGCATTAGGAAGGCTGTCAGTTGGATCATTTATTTATTTATCTATTCTCGCACTAGTGCTTGTTTCTAGCCGGCACATAACATTTCTCCATTGATCTACTTCCACACACCATCCATTTCATACTCTAACTTCCACTTCGACAAGTATTTTAAATTAGTTGGATCAATCTGACACAAACTTTCCATACCCTTGATGATCTTCTCTATACTCTTCCCTAAACCCATCCTTTTTAATTCTTTTACCTCCCTGGCTCACTTTAGTTATTTTATTCTTTAGTTCTATTATTTTATTATTTTGGAATAGAGGCGTCCCTCAAACCCATATTTTTCTTAAAACCATATATTCAAGTGTTTATTTTTTGTTGGATCCTGCGCTTCTACAAACTTCTAATTGTAGATTTTAAATTATCCCTGACTTTACTTTGACCTTTACCAATTTTAAAGAATTTAGTCCAGTACAAACACCTAGGGTATTCTCCACCCTGGATGTTTATTCAGCAGGACAGTACCCAAAACGGATACCCAGATGCCGTATCTGTCAAATATCCCTGCTGCGGCAGCTGCAAACCTTACTATCTCTAAAAAAACAAAGAGTCCCAAATTCTAACGCACAGAATACCCAGATGCCATATGCGTCAACAAGACTTGGTCTCATCAAATATTCTTGCAATTACAGCTGTAACTTTAAATTGTCCCAGACCAACTTTTGATCAAAAACTTTAGGCCTACCCTTTGTCATGTAGATCAGTTCCTCTGGAGTCGTCACCAAGATGCCCAGGGAAGGGCTGGACCAAACTGGCCCCGTCCGGCAAAGGGGAACTGAAATACACAGTAAGGGCTTTTCATACAGCTCCTGCAGGAGGAGAGACCGTTGAACCCCAGACTTAAACAAACTGTCTCCCCCCGGACCTCCTCTGCAGAGCGCTTTATTAACAGAACATGACACATGGTTACAAACAGAGTATTGTTCTGACAGAAAAATTGATCAGTTCATAAAGACAGGATGCTCCACTAGAATGACAAGGCAGGATGGTCTCCTGACTGAATCACAAGACACAGTGGAGCATCCCCTTGCACAAATGTTTCATGAGCATACATACATTAATTTTATAATCATCATTGAATAAACCTAACAGTGAGGATTCATCAAACTGGTTCTTCTGGGTTCTAGAGAGGGACAGTATTCTCTGTTCCTGTTATTTCCTCAGCAGCATCAGAGTAGAATCTGATCTGATCTATTATAATGTCCACGTTCTCCTGCTGAAAGTCACTGATGGTCTGACCCTCCTCCTGTTTTACAGGGAGCCTGAAGGAGTCCGATGGGTGGAACCAGATCTGAGGAAGTGTACGTGTATTTTTCATTGGATTCATGACAGCAAAGCATTTCGAATTCAACCATCTTCAAACTGTCCATCACTCATTGAGGAATCTTCATATGAATGATCACTAACTGCAGCTGGATTGTGTTTATTCTCTCCATCAGATTCATGTCAGCTCACCATCGATACAAACACAGTGAGCAGAAACCTGAAAGTGTCTGAAGGCAACAGGAAGGTGTCCTATGCGGAGGAGCTTCAGTCATATCCTGATCATCCAGATAGATTTGATATCTGTCCTCAGCTGCTGTGTAGTGATGGTCTGACTGGTTGCTTTTACTGGGAGGTTGAGTGGAGAGGAGAAGTTGATATATCAGTGAGTTACAGAAGAATCAGGAGGAAAGGAGACGGTGATGACTGCTTGTTTGGATGGAATGATCATTCCTGGAGTCTGAGATGCTCTGATGGTCTTTACAATGTCAGACACAACAGGAAGCAAGCCTCATTCTCCCCTCCCTCCTCCTCCTCCTCCTCCTGGTATTTCTCCTCCTCTGTCTGTAACAGAGTAGCAGTGTATGTGGATTATCCTGCTGGCATCCTGTCCTTCTACAGAGTCTCCTCTGACTCACTGATCCACCTCTTCACCTTCAGCACCACCTTCACTGAACCTCTGTATCCTGGATTCTGGATCAGTTCTGGTTCCTCAGTGCTCTTTCTGAAATTCTCAGAAAAGTCTCCTCGTAAACTTCGTCCTCTTCCAGTCCTTTAACACCAAGACTCCCAGAATTCTGATCCTACTCGAACTCCCACTGGCCGTCAATTTGACGGGTGACATTTTTCCCAATGGAACGCATTAGTAGTGATGATGTCATCCACTGAAATGGTTCTAGTGTGCGATATAAACTCATTGTGGATACGTAGACCTTATATCAGGTCTAATATATAGATTTTTTAGAACGCCGTATTGTATGCTATTGTTATTTGTGCTCTAAATTTGTATTAAACACACGGTTCAAAGTTTAAAATGACAAATTTATTTACAAAAATTGATTACCCCAGCACCTTTCCTCCTGACGACCTTTTCACATTTATGAAAAACATCATATGAGTTTTTTTTAGTACAGAGCTGAAGCACCTGCAGCAGTTTTCTTTGTCTTGATGAAGCTGCTGTTCAGCAGCGGAATGGTTGGTAACCTGCGGAGCACATGTGGTCGGCACGCCAACCTGTGTGTGATTATAGTAGCCCATGGGATCTGGTTCTGGTTTTAGGCCGCTGAGTGGACCGGCTGAGGTGTGGGCAGTGCTATCCAAAACTTGAACAAAAGTCTGATTGATTCAAAAAAACTATAAGCTTGCAAACATAATCTTTGTATTTTAAAATAAATATTTAGCTCCAAACTAAAGATTTATGTGACAAAGTAAGATTTCTATAAGACTTTTATAAGACTTGGGAATATGAACACCCTTATTTTCCTCTTAAAACGCGCTAAATAACCATTAAAATTGCTCCTAACTTTACAAACGGCGCCCCATACAGAGGGAGGCTTTGAGTAGCAGTAGTGATTAACACAAGCGCTGGAGATCCGCCCGCTCCTCTAATACTGGAGAAGATGAGGATGATTACGCGCAGGTGCACAGAAACTGCAGCCTAATGGCTCCACCTAGTGGGAAAAGCAGACTCTAGCACCCAACAGCATGACTTATGCTAGTCAGTAATGTTTGTGGAATTTCAATCTGTTTCTGTTTTAAAAATGATTTATTGTAAATACAACCATCCTAAAGTCCTTTGAAGATGGAATTTGAATTTACTTCTTATATTTATTTTATCATGTTAATGTTAATATGAATGGATTCTATAAGTTTTATTTCACTTTCAAAAAACATGTATATTTTTAAATCCTCCAAATTTTCAGGTTTTAGTAACACAATATTTGAAAATAAATGCAACATAAAAATGTAAATTCAAACAAAAAAAATGTATATAAACTTTCATTTATTTTAACTTTGTTCCTTCAGCAATTTACTTAGTTGTTGTAGGAATTAGTGAAGGGCTTGATGAAAACAGAAATAAGGAGTGTTGTCGATGTGTATTCCTGAAGACGTGTAAAATTTATCTTTATCAGTATTTGACATAATGAGCAGAGAATCTGTCAGTTTGTTGGTTCAGAAATGTTTAACATCTCATCATCACTCTTTACAGTCTCTGCATTTTAGTGAAAATGTAACTTTAAATGTTTTTCTTTCTCTTAAACATATAACATGGATGAGTTCTCCTAGTTTGTAGATCAGGATTATTTACTTTATTATAAATATGCTTGGAGACAATAAAGTAAAAAGGTGTTTGGATTTATGCTCTGAGTTTTGGTTTTAGTTCCTGGAGGAAGAACAATTTATCTCAGCAAATGACTCATTTAGAGAGCTTTTTATAATAGATGTTTTTTCCTTTTTATTAATACCTTTGAACAGCTTCAGATCATTTAATAACCTTAACCTTTGATGTTTTATTTTAATTGACAAATGTTATTACTATTTAATTCAGTTTATTTCTATAGCTCCAATTCACATCCTGTCATCTCAGGTCACTTTCCAGTTCACCAGATCATCCAGTCAGATTGATTCAAAGTTTTCTATCTAAGGAAAACCAGCTGATTGCATCGACTCATTGACTCTTCAGCAATCCCTCACACTAAGCATGCTTGTAGCGACAGTGGAGAGGAAAAACTCCCTTTGAACAGGAAGAAACCTCCAGCAGAACCAGGCTCAGTGTGAGCTGCCATCTGCTGAGGCCCACTGGGGTTCAAGGAGACAGAAGCAGACATAGAAAAAGAAGCATAGATACAAAAGGCAACTATTAACCAGTTGGTCTCGTTCCAATGTTTTCTCCATCAATGTGAGTAAAAATTTGTTTCAGAGTCAAAGAAAAAACAGCCCCCAGAGACTCAGAGCGGAGCTAACGATGCTAACAGCCGCTAACAGGATGTGGAGACACTGGAGGATGTTTGTAGCTCTGAGGCTGATCATCAGCCCTCCCTGCTTAACTCTGATTATCAACATCTGTAGATCTACACCCTGATGCTGAACCACAGCATCCATCTTTGGCTACGCAAACAAATACTTAATACCAGAAGAGGGCAGTATAGAGACCCCGTTCAGGACAGAATATGTAAAAATAAAATATGAATTCTGGTTTAGTTGGTTTTCTGTTGCTCATGATACATTAACTGAACATTTTCAATTTAAAAAAACAGTTCTCAATGTTCTCACCTTTTGTGATATCACAAATAAATACTGTATTATGTTTATACTTTTTTAGACCTTTGTTCTCAAAACAAACAACTGTTAATCTGTATGGGACAAAAACTGGCAAAGTATTACATTTCCATCTAAATAGAACTATTAATATGTCAGTAACTGTTGTACATAATCTGGTATGTATGAATATTTTATATTGAGACTCCATCTCTAATAATATGGGAATATAATAATAATTGCTTCACTCAATATAGCTGCAGTCATTAAAATTGAGTGAGAAATAAAATGTTTAACAATTTTGGGCTATATGACTTCTCGCTGCCCTCTGGTTGCTAACTACAGATTACATGTTTATCTTTACTATAATTTTAATTATTATGTGGTCAGATAAAATTAGGTTATATTACTGTCATAAAACACAAAGAAGATTCAGGACAGATTTTTATTTGATCGGGACAAAAACACATCCTGGTGATACATAGTCTTCACCATAAAATCATACAGTGAATTAAAATCTGTCAGATTTTGATTTGAGTCTGAAAACAGTAGATATAAATGTCTTTGTTTCTCAACAACTGTATTTTTTGAATCAGAAGCAGCTTCAGAGAATTGAAAACTGTATGAGGCACTAAAACTGATTTTTATTCCTGCTCCCGGTTTTACGTCCAGACTGAGATCATTAGCTATGAGCCACTGTAGTTTTTATTGAGAATCTATCAAAAAACAGCTGTAATTTGTCTCCATCTGGTGGCCAAATCCTAAACTGAAAAAACTTGGTTAGAGTAAAGATGTTTTTATAGTTCTCTTCAAGCTACAACTAATTACCCAGTTTTTTACAAACAGATTTCATTGATCCATTGATTCGGTAGTTTTTCATGTTTATTAAATCAACCTTAGTTTTGACGTCACTGGTGAAACAAAAAGGGAATGTCTCTGAAATCAGGTGACCAGTGATGAACCAATCCTCTGTCTCAGTGAAAAACTGGTTCCCCTGGTAGTCTGGGAGTAATATGATCCAATATGTTAATTTATGGAGATCAAAGTACTTTGGTTAACCCTTGGAGAGATCATGTTTGCTTATTTTCACACAAAGCAAAAAATATATAGTTATTTCAAATTCTGCAAACACAATAGAGTATATAAAGGTAGAATTCAAGTCTCTGGGCTCCAGTGTGAATGAAAACAGTATTTTGGTAGTGAATATTTTTCTCACATGGGAAAAATAGGTCATGTGGCTTTAACAAGAGCTCATAGCTAAAAGGCTTTCAGTGATAACAATTCTTTACTTTCATTTTCTGCCTTACAGTGACACAGAAAAAAGTATCTCCGGAGAAATCTTCTAAAAGGTAAAGTAAGATGCTGTTTTCCATCGTTAACTTTGTAGAATAAGCTGTGGAAAAGTGTTGTCCGGCAGAACCCGCAGAAAGAACCAAATATGTTTCACATTAATGGAAGTGATACCGAAGAGAAAACCTGGTGTGCCTGGTGTTTTTCCATATGCTCAAAACTAAAATTGCGCATCTAAAGGGCTTTTTACGGTATACTTTTTACTATTTTGAAGATTTTATTAATTTAAAGAAATTGCAGTTTCTTTTAAAAACGGACATTACACATTTCTACAAGGTTCTGTACCTTTTTTAGCATTTGAAACCGATTTGAATATTTCAGATTATTTGATTTAAGAATAAAGATTTAATAAAACCTTAAACAGCAACAAAAAAATGCAGACATATATTGCAGTATACTACTTTAATAATAATATAACAATAATAATATTTTGTTTTAACATTATTATTGTAGTAGTAATACTTAGAAATCATTCAACTGGGGCTGTACATGATTAATGAATTTAGTGTTTAGTTAATTTCTTTCCAGTAGATGGCGCCCGATTGCAGCCTGTAAACCTCCGTGTAGAGGCGCACTGAGAATCTATATGCTGTCAAACGCTGTCGGTCTGAGCCCAGAGTTCCATGAAGGTTCACAGATGGGTTCGTGAGAACCCAACTTGTTCCATTCGGTAGGATGCTGAGAGTCGGTCATCTAAGCACAGATTTTATTAATTAAAATAAATAATTGAAAAAATATAAAAAGTCTACGTCATCTAAGCATGTGATCCTGGATGTTTATAGTGTGATCCTATTCATTTGAGCAATGATAGAATAAAGAATATGACTATAGAATCTAGATTAAACTTATAGAAAACAACATTTCCAGACAGACCTGTCTGAAGTGTGTTTTTTCCACACTCGTTTGTCCAAAACCTGACTGATGAACCTTTGGCTGCACCACCCCTGCTTTGCACACGCTCAACTCTGACTGTGCGCGATCTGCTTCCTCTTTTAATTCCAACGGGCCTGATCCCTACGCTGATCCCTGTCGCCGTCTTGGAGCGGTCAACAGCTCCTCTCAGCAGGCATCCCCCAAGTCGGTCCTGGAGGGCCTGCAGGTTTTACAGGTTTCCTTCCTTCAGCACAGCTGATTTCCATTGATAGCTGATTAACATTCTTTTGCTGAACTGCAATGGCGTTGGGGGGAGTCATTGATGATGTTACGGGTTCTGGACATGAAGTGCTGAGCTGTTGTTGAGCAGTGGAGCGTGGTTAGGCCGGTTCTTCCTGAAGTCCACCATGATCTCCTTGGTCTTCTCCACCTTCAGGATCAGGCTGTTATCTCTGCTCCACCAGCTGCTCCACCTCCTCTCTGTAGTCCAGGTCGTTGTCGTCTCTGATGAGGCCCACCGCCGTGGTGTCGTCTGCAAACTTCACCATGTGATCGGTGGTGAACCTGGGGACGCAGTCGTGTGTCATCAGGGTGAACAGCAGGGGGCTCAGGACGCAGTCCTGAGGGGAGGGGCTTAGACTGATGACATCAGAGGTGTCCTGTCCAACCCGGACTGACTGAGTTCTGTTGGTGAGGAAGTCTAGCAGCCATGTCTATGATTGTTAAGGGTCGGTCATTAAGGAGGTGTTGTTCACCGGCTGGAGAGGGAGGTACTTTGCTCCTCTGTGATGGGGTGGGGGGTGTGGTGATACCTGGAAGGAATCAGCTCTATAACTGAATTGTAAGTTTTTGGAAGCTGGAATCTGAGTCCCCCCCTCTGCTTAAAGTTGTTTTTTCTCTCTTGACATTGATGGCTTCCTTCACGCCCCTCTCAAACCACCTATTTTCTTTATCCAGAATGTGAACATTCTGGTCCTCCACAGAACGTCCTTTGTCCAGAAGGTCTAGATGTACTGTGGAGTCTTGTCCAGAGGCAGTGAAACCATGAATATTTAGATCCACTTCAAACAAGAGTGATTGTGGGAGACTTTAGAGTTCTGGGCTTCACTGTTTAACTTTAAATATATTATTATAATAGAAGGTTTTTCCTTTAGGACCCTACAGAACCTCAAACCTGAACCAGAACCCAGCCATGTGTCCTTAAAGAGCGACTGGTCAAAGGATGGCTTCATGGATTTTAAATCAGATCAACCTTCAGCTGCAGAGAGGTGAGTTGTTTCTAAATGTTTTAACTGTATTAAACTGAACTGACTTGATTAGAAATGTTTTACATTGTTTTAGTAAAAAAGTGAACACAAAATAAAAGAGTAAAGGAAACAAAATGAAAAATAACAATCATACATGAGGACCCTCACACCGAAGGAGAATTTAGAGAACATGACTAACATGACTGTGGGAGGAAGCCGGAGTACCTGGAGAGAATGCTAAGGGAATCAAACCCACAACCTTCTTGCTGCAAGGCAGCAGTGCTACCCACTGTGCCACTGAGCAGCTTAGTTACATACTGTTCCTTTATATCTGCACACACAAGGAACTCATTAACATTTTGGCGGGCTACTGTCCCATCAGTCAGTGTGAGATCATCAAGAAATGATGCTTTAATACAGCATTATAAATGGTCGGGCTTTCACAATAATGCTGACAAATTCTGGTAAAGGTATAGCGTTTTCCATGAAACTAAAAAACAACCAGTACTACCGCCAGGTTGTCGGAAAAAAAAAAAAGCATTAGAAAGGTCGCCCACAGAAAAAAAAAGCAGCATCAAAAGGAATCTACGATAGTATACTATGTAAATTGGGCACAAATGGTACACATGGGATAGCTGCTTTATAAACATCTTGCAGGGCTTGCACAAATATCCATCCCTCAATACAGTTGGCCTTTCAACCTTGGAGTTATATGCTTCAGCCTGTCGCTCTGACTCCCATCATGATGAAGTGCTTCCAAAGGCTGGTTAAAGAACACATCGTCTCCAGTCTGCCGCCAACATTCCACCCGTTCCAGTTCGCCTACCGACGGAACCGCTCCACTGAGGACGCCATCTCTGCTGCTCTCCACCTGAGCCTGGCACACCTGGAGGAGAAGAACACCCACGATGGATGCTGTTCCTGGACTTCAGTTCAGCTTTCAACACCATCATCCCACAGCAATAAGCTAGACGCCACAGCTAATGAATAACTTACACTTAACGTTAGTCAAGGATCAGATAACTTACCTGTAACTTATGCCCTACGTATGAGCATATGCTGGCATACGTCGGGAAATTTTGAGCATAATCATAATTTCTCGATGTATTTGCCGTATGTCCACATGTTTCAGCATGTTTTAGCGTGCTTATAACCTATAGAAAACGTACCCATAACTTTTCCAATGTATGCTACCTCTTAAGCTATCGCCTTCAATGTCAGCATGGATGTTAAAACCTCCCACTATGATGACCCTGTCAGTATTTAATACCAAATCAGAAAGGAACTCTGAAAACTCATCTAAACATTCAGAGTAAGGACCTGGTGGACGATACAAAGTTACAAAAAGAAGAGGTTTTCTTGCCTTGAAATTTGGATGAGGGAAATTAAGGGTTAAATGTTCAAAAGAGTTGTAGGTATTAACTGTTTTGGGAGTAATCAGTAAGTCAGACTGGAAGATTGTTGCTACTCCTCCTCCTCGCCCAGAACTTCTGGGGATGTGAAAATTTAAATAGCTTGAAGGAGTTGCCTCATTTATGCTCACATAATCCTCTTGCTGCAGCCAGGTTTCTGTAAGGCAACATAAATCAATGTGATTATCACAAATCAAGTCATTAACTAGCAGACTTTTTAGAAGAAAAAGATCATGTATTAAATAAACTACATTTATTTGTTTTTAAATTTTCCCCAGTATGAGTTTAGATTATTTTCTTTTTAGATTATCATGATTTACTCCCTTTGGGACTCTTTTTTTTTTTTATGTACTTGATTTTGGTTGTGGGGAAGACACAGTCTGGATGGATGGAGGTCTGTTAAACTACGCCTCTGCTTCCTGGTCTGCACCCTTTCATATAAACATATGTGTAATATGCATTGAATTGAGCAGCAATCTTCTCGCCATTTTACTCTACTTTGCAGCTGTAGCACTGTTGCTTATTCTTTTAAACACCGTCTCCAATTTGTTTTCATTCTGCATTAAAATCTCTTGTTCCAGAGGGGTGAAATTGACACTTGCCTGTTGTCATGGTGACACATCTAGTAGCGCTCCACTGATAATGGCTTTTTATACTTGTTATGCACATTCTTGACTCACAGCAACCCGAATAAAATCAGAAAATCAGAGCTTCCAAGCTTGGGCTAAATCAAGATTGAAGATGTGAGTCTGAGTTTGTTGAAGCTGCTTTGTGAAACCTTCCTCTGGTCTGATGATGATGTGTTTGGCTACCTAGAGAGCTTAGTTACGTTGTTACTTATGCATTTCTTTTCTCTCTTGTGCTCTTCTTTTTTTCTTGTGATGTGTAGCTTTAAGTCCCCTGAGTTGGAATTGACAAAAGATATCGAGAACAACTTCCAAAATAATTAACTAAAAAGAGTACTGTAAGTAAACAGCAGTAATTTTAAGTAAAAAAAATGCATTTCTTTTAAGAAAATGGCTGCTAAAATATCATGTGACATTTAGAGATCTTCTGGAATTGGACTCTCTTTTATCAGAGTGCAGCTCTGCATCTTTAAAGAGCAACGCGTTTGAAGATATGGACCAATACGATAAATGTGATCCACTGAAAAGGTGGCTGTAAGTTGACATCAGTTTTTTAAAGTAATTAAAAAAATAATAATATAAGAAAAGAAACGTTTGTGAGTGATATCTCATGATGTTTAGGGATCATCTAGGATCAGAGTCTCCTTTATTAGAGCGCAGCTATGCATCTATAGAGAGCCGCGCTTCAGAAGAGATCGAGCAACAAGCTGAACTTGATTCTCTGACAAGCCAGCGGTAAGTTGTCACCAGTTTTTTTAAATAATTTAAAAAATAATAACATAAGATAAGAAACGTTTTTGAGTGATATCTCCTGATGTTTAGGGATCCTCTAGGATCAGAGTCTCATTTATTAGACCGCAGCACTGCATCTATAGAGAGCCGCGCTTCAGAAGATTTCTACCAACCACTTGAACGTGAATCACTGAAAAGGCGGCTGTAAGTTGACACCAGTTTTTTAAAGTAATTAAAAAAATAATAATATAAGATAAGAAATGTTTGTGAGTTATATCTCATGATGTTTAGGGATTCAGCAGGATCAGAGTCTCCTTTATCAGAGCGCAGCTCTGCATCCTTCAAGAGTGACCAGTCTAAAGATATCGTCAGAAACTTTAAACGTTGCCGACTTAAGAAGCAACAGTAAGTAAACAGCACTTAAAAAAACATTCACGTTTTTATTTATTTTGTGATATTTGGGGATCTTCAAGGCTCAGAGTCTCTGTATGAGTAACTGCAGCCTTTTTATATGAGTTAGATCGGTCTCTATTTTAACAAATACACGTATGTGATTCATGCATGAACAGGACGAGCTCCACACACACACACAGCACGATTCACTCACGCATAAAAAAATCCACACACACAAAGGACAAGATTCACATACGCACAGAACGATTCACACAAGCACACAAGATCCACACTCGCACAGTAGAAGATTCACCAAAGTATTTCTGGTCCACAAACAATTATAGATTAAATTACAAAGTACCGGTGGTCTTTAAACTTCACTGCATGTGTGTGTGGATTTTTGAGGTTCTCCTGACATGCCTGGATACACAAATGCATTTTATAAACGGAAAGGTTTGCCACCAATCACAAAGCTCCCGTGTATGAGCCAATCACAAGAAACTACTCCACGTGCAACAAGAAGTGGTTGCAATTAATATCTGGTTATGTTTAGGATCTCTGGGCTCCCAATAACTATTACACTTCATTTGAGAAAAGAAATTAGTATATTTCTCTGTCTGTCTGTCTTAAACACCCTGCTAATCTTATTTTTTACAGAAATCACAAAATGTGATTTTTTTTTTAAACTATTTGTATGATAAAGCTGCAAATATGTATTTCAACACTTGAGAAAATCAAAGTTAATATTTGGTCCAGTAGCCTTTGTTTGCAATTCCAGAGGTCAAACGTTTCCTGTAGTTTTTCACCTGGTTTGCACACACAGCAGGAGGGATTTTGGCCCACTCCTCCACACAGATCTTTAGATCAGGTTTCTGGGCTGTCACCGAGAAACACAGTTTGAGCTCCCTCCAAAGATTCTCTCTTGGGTTTAGGTCTTGAGACTACTAAGCCACACCAGAACCTTGATCTGCTTCCTCCAGAGTCCCTCCTTGGTTATCCTGGCTGTGTGCTTCGGGTCATTGTGATGCTGGAAGACCCAGCCTCCACCCATCTTCAGTGCTATAACTGAGGGAAGGAGGTTGTTCTCCTAAATCTCCCAATCCATGGCCCCCATCATCCTCTCCTTAATACAGTGCAGACGCCCTTCCCGTGTGCAGAAAAACACCCCCAAAGCATGATGCTGCCACCCCCATGCTTCACAGTAGGGATGGTGTTCTTGGTTCTCATCATTCTTCTTCCTCCGAACATGGTTAGTGGAATAATGACCAAAAAGTTCTATTTTGGTCTAATCTGACTTTCTCCCATGACTCCTCTGGATCAATCAAATGGTCATTGGCAAACTGAAGACGGGCCTTGACCAGTGCTGCTTTAAGCAGGGGAACCTTGCATGTCATGCATGATTTCAAACCATGACGTCTTAGCGTATTACCAACAGTAACCATGGAAACGGTGGTATCAGCTCTTTTCGGGTCATTGACCAGCCCCTCCCATGTAGTTTTGGGCTGATTTCTCACCTTTCTTAGGATCATTGAGGCCCCACCAGGTGAGATCCTGCATGGAGCTCCAGTCTGAGGGAGACTGACAGTCATGTTTAGCTTCTTCCATTTTCTAATGATTGCGCCAACATTGGTCCTTTTTCACCAAGCTGCTTGGCAGTTTCCCTGCAGCCCTTTCCAGCCTTGTGGAGGTCTACAGTTTGGTCTCTAGTGTATGTGGACAGCTCTTTGGTCTTGGCCATGTTAGTCGTGTGATTCTTACTGATAGTATGGGGTGGACAGGTGCCTTTATGCAGCTAACCACCTCAAACAGGAGCAGCTAATGTAGCATAATAAACGGAGGCGGACATTTTGAAGGCAGACTAACAGGTCTTTGAGGGTCAGAATGCAAGCTGATATACAGGTGTTCAAATACTTATTTACAGCTGTATCATACAAGTAAAGTTACTAAATCATACATTGTGATTTATGAAATTTGTTTATTAGATGATGTTGATGAAAATTTTTATTATTAAAGATAATAAAGGTTTTTTATTCATATCAGTATAAATAAACAGCATGAATTTTTACCCCTTTGAGATGTGATGAGTTTTCAAAGTGTTCCTTTAATTTTTTTGAGCTGTGTATATATATTGCCTTATACATTATATGTATACACATATATATGTACACATATACACACATACATATACGCGCATATATATCTGTATATGTATATATGTATGCATATATATACTTTTTTTTTATTATTGCTTTTATTAATATTAGTGCAATACATTTCTTAGTTTAAATGTGGTGATTGTTTGTCAATAACTAATTTTCAACTATATTACAATTTTTACAGGACGGACCTGCATAAACTCGAGGTTTCTACTGGTCTGCTTGCGCAACCCCAGGCGGACTTCATATCTATGGTCTGTATATATAAAAATGCCTTTCTATTAGTTTTGCTAGCAGTAGTCTCCATGCTGCTCTAAGTAGACCTGAGGACAGTCTGTTGAACATTGATCCCATTTTCAAGTCTTTCTCCTTCATATATTTAGTTCCAGCAGCTGAAGAAAAACCTTTTTAAATTTGTGAATAACGAGCTGAACAAGATCCAGAAGGTTCTGTCTCCAGATGACCCAGAAGGCTTAGAAGTTCTTAGGAAGGATGAGGATTGTTTAGATGGTGTGAATGAAGAACAGTGGAAGAGCAGCAGAGATGCTCTTGTGAAGATCACTCTGAACTTCTTGAGTGGGATGAAGCAGGAGGAGCTGGCTGAACGTCTGCAGAAAAGTAAGAGGAATTAGCTTAATATTACGTTTGATGGATTTTATAAATTATTAAAGAAAATGAAAATAGGCTTATATTTTGGAAAGGTAAACTCTATTTCCTGAAGTTATTGTTTATTTTGTTGGTGTTTATTTAGATCTTATTGCTGCATCCTGTCAACAAAAACTAAAATCTTCTCTGAAGAAGTTCCAGTATCAGTCTGAGGGGATCGCTAAAGCAGGAAGTCCAAGCCTTCTGAACCAGATCTACACAGAGCTCTACATCACAGAGGGAGGGACTGGAGAGGTCAATGAGGAACATGAGATCAGACAGATTGAAACAGCATCCAGGAAACCAAACAGACCAGAAACAACAATCAGACAAGAAGACCTCTTTAAAGTCCCACCTGGAAGAGATCAACCAATCAGAGCAGTGTTGACACAGGGAGTGGCTGGCATTGGGAAAACAGTCTTAACACAGAAGTTCACTCTGGACTGGGCTGAAGGCAAAGCCCACCAGAACATCCAGTTCATATTTCCATTCACCTTCAGAGAGCTGAATGTGCTGAAAGAGAAAAAGTTCAGCTTGGTGGAACTTGTTCATCACTTCTTCACTGAAACCAAAGAAATCAGCAGCTTTGAAGATTATCAGGTTCTGATCATCTTGGACGGTCTGGATGAGAGTCGACTTCCTCTGGACTTCACCAACAAGGAGATCCTGACTGATGTTACAGAGTCCACCTCAGTGGATGTTCTGCTGACGAACCTCATCAGGGGGAAACTGCTTCCCTCTGCTCTCCTCTGGATAACCACACGACCTGCAGCAGCCAATCAGATCCCTCCTCAGTGTGTTGACATGGTGACAGAGGTCAGAGGGTTCACTAACCGACAGAAGGTGGAGTACTTCAGGAAGAGATTCAGGGACAGAAAACGGGTCAGAAGGATCATCTCCCACATCAAGACATCTAGAAGTCTCCACATCATGTGTCGCATCCCAGTCTTCTGCTGGATCTCTGCTACGGTTCTGGAGGATCTGTTAAAGACACAGAACCAAGGAGAGCTTCCCAACACCCTGACTGAGATGTACATCCACTTCCTGGTGGTTCAGACCAAAGTGAAGAAGGTTACGTATGATGGAGGAGCTGAAACGGATCAACTCTGGAGTCCAGAGAGCAGGAAGATGATCGAGTCTCTGGGAAAACTGGCTTTTGATCAGCTGCAGAAAGGAAACCTGATCTTCTATGAATCAGACCTGACAGAGTGTGGCATCGATATCAGAGCAGCCTCAGTTTACTCAGGGGTGTTCACACAGATCTTTAAAGAGGAGAGAGGGCTGTACCAGGAGAAGGTGTTCTGCTTCGTCCATCTGAGTGTTCAGGAGTTTCTGGCTGCTCTTCATGTCCATCTGACCTTCATCAAGGATGGAGTCAACCTGTTGGTAGAACCAAGATCTGTTGACAAGTCAACACGTTTTTATCAGAGTGCTGTGGACCAAGCCTTAAAAAGTCCAAATGGAAACCTGGATGTGTTCCTCCGCTTTCTTTTGGGTCTCTCCCTGGAGACCAACCAGAGACTACTAAAAGGTCTGCTGACACAGACAGGAAGTAGCTCACTGACCAATCAGGGAATACTTCAGTACATCAAGAAGAAGATCAATGAGAATCTGTCTGCAGAAAAAAGCATCAACCTGTTCCACTGTCTGAATGAACTGAATGATCGTTCTCTGGTCCAGGAGATCCAACAGTCTCTGAGATCAGGAAGTCTTTCCACAGATAAACTGTCTCCTGCTCAGTGGTCAGCTCTGGTGTCCATCTTAATCACATCAGGAGAAGATCTGGATGTGTTTGACCTCAAGAAATACTCTGCTTCAGAGGAGGCTTTTCGCATGCTGCTACCAGTGGTCAAAATGGCCAGTAAAGTGCAGTAAGTACCTAGACTCACATTTGCTGCTATAATGCAGATGCTGCACCAGTCTTTTATGGTGAAGAGAGAGCTGAGCCAAAAAGCAAAGCTCTCAATTACCCCTCGAAATCCCTGTCAGATTTAGGTAGGATTACATCAATAACTTCAAAGGACAATAAAGATAAAGAATTTTATGATTTTTCTCACTTTCTTTAAATTTCACATTTATTCTGTATTTAGTCCAACTGCTTTTGAAATCGAACAAGGGTGTCACTGTGGTGGAATATTTGCGTATTCCTCCCGGAAAACTGGGTTGAGGTTTATAGCCCATCCTGCTGTCACCCACTTTTGTTGCTCTGCCTGTAAATTCTATATACAGGGTTCTCATCAGGATATGTTATGAGCAATAGGTGGGGCTTTGTTTGCAGCACAGCAATGTTGACTGTATTCTACAGTGGGGAGAACAAGTATTTGATACACTGTTGATTTTCCTGGTTTTCCCACCTGCAAAGCTTGTAGAAGACTGTAATTTGTATCATAGGTACTCTTCAACTGTGAGTGATGGAATCTAATACAAAAATCCAGAAAAATACAATGTATGATTTTTAAATAATTAATTTCCATTTTATTGTGTGAAATAGGTATTTGATACACCAGACCAATGAAACTTAATATTTGGTACAGAAACCTTTGTTTGGAATTACAGAGATCAGAAGTTTCCTGTAGTTCTTGACCAGGTTTGCACACACTGCAGCAGGGATTTTGGCCCACTCCTCCATACAGATCTCCTCCAGAGCCTTCAGTTTCGGGGCTGTCGCTGGGCCACACGGACTTTAAGCTCCCTCCAAAGATTTTCTATTGGATTCAGGTCTGGAGACTGGCTAGGCCACTCCAGGACCTTAAGATCTTCCCTACGGAGCCACTCTTTAGTTGCCCTGGCTGTGTGTTTTGGGTCGTTATCATGCTGGAAGACCCAGCCACCACCCATCTTAAGTGCTCTTACTGAGGGAAGGAGGTTGTTGGCCAAAATCTCGCGATACATGGCCCCCTCCATCCTTCGCACAATATGGTGCAGTCGTCCTTTCCCCTTTGCAGAAAAGCATCCCCAAAGAATGATGTTTCCACCGCCGTGCTTCACGGTTGGGATGGTGTTCTTGGGGTTGTACTCATCATTCTTCTTCCTCCAAACATGACGAGTGGAGTTTAAACCAAAAAGTTCTATTTTTGTCTCATCAGACCACATGACCTTCTCCCATTCCTCCTCTGGATCATTCAGATGGTCATTTGCAAACATCAGCTGGGCTTTGACATGCGTTGGCTTGAGGAAGGGCGCCTTGCGTGCACTGCAGGATTTTAATCCTTGACGGCGTAGAGTGTTACTGGTTGTTTTCTTTGAGACTGTGGTCCCAGCTCTATTCAGGTCATCGACCAGGTCCTGCCGTGTAGTTCTGGGCTCATTGATCACCTTCCTCAAGATCAATGATGCTCCACGAGGGGAGATCTTGCATGGCGCCCCAGACCGAGGGAGATCTCCTGTTATTTTGTATTTTTTCCATTTTCTAATAATTGCACCAACTGTTGTTGCCTTCTCACCAAGCTGCTTGCCTATTGTCCTGTAGCCCATCCCAGCCTTCTGCAGGTCTACAGTTTTATCCCTGATGTCCTTGCACAGCTCTCTGGTCTTGGGCATTGTGGAGATGCTGGAGTGTGATTGATTGAGAGTGTGGACAGGTGTCTTTTATACAGGTAACGAGTTCAAACAGGTGCAGTTAATACAGGTAATGAGTGGAGAACAGGAGGGCTTCTTAAAGAAGAACTAACATGTCTGTGAGAGCCAAAATTCTTACTGGTGGATAGATGATCAAATACTTATTTCACACAATAAAATGGAAATTAATTATTTTAAAATCATACATTGTATTTTTCTGGATTTTTGTTTTAGATTCCATCACTCACAGTTGAAGAGTACCTATGATAAAAATTACAGTCTTCTACAAGCTTTGCAGGTGGGAAAACCAGGAAAATCAACAGTGTATCAAATACTTGTTCTCCCCACTGTATTAGGTAGAAGAAAACACTCTGACCACTGGTTGATTTTCAAAGCTGGCTCTCTGCTAGCAAGGCAATTAGCACATTTGTTCATATGCTTGCAAGAGCTTAGGGTGAGGGGTTGACAGATACTGAAGAGCAGGGGGTTTATGTTTTTAAAGTGGTTTTCTTACATAAATGAGCAAATTTAGGTTAAAGTGTTTTAAAAGTACCATTTCTGCAATCCCTGCACTCATTAAAGGCTGTTGTATCGGCCTAAATTTCACGTCATTTTTATATTTCAGCATAACTAGCATTTGTGATGAAATGTACTGGACAGAGCCCTGGGGGAGGGACACCAGATGTCAGTCAATGGGCCAATACACTTTTAAAGGATGAGCAGAGGGGCCTGAATTTCAACTTAGCAGGGACAAATTTGTTACCTTGCAAGCCAGATGAATTGTCACAAGATTTGAAATTTTACAAACTACTGAAAATGTATAAACTTGAATACAAAAATGTTTCAAACCAATGAAAATGACGTGTATGTCATCAGTCAGAGGCAGAGGCAGATGCAAAACAAATGTGGCTGCACCGATTTTTTTAGCTGGAATATCCTCTATTTCGTTTTGAAAAACTTTCAATAGGACGCGATTTGTGGATGGGAAAAATGTCTGTGCTTTTTCCCAACCGGATTTGTGTCTCATGAAACGTGACAGATAGACCCAGAATTCAAGGAGAGACAGTTAGTAGAAAAGTTCAAAACGTTTATTAAATGAAAAACAAAACTACAACCAAACCAACAAATAAAAACACAACCATAACATCTATAAACTCAGACAAACGAACATCAAAGCATCTTATATTTATGGGTCCTACAACTGGCTTTTACAAAATTAATGGTTACGGTGTTTCCCTTTGAAATCACATCCGGTCAACTTTGGACTGACCTAATAGTCGAAATATTTTGTGTTAAATTGCTTTTTACTTTGTCTTAAATCCCAATATAACATATAAACAGACTGAGCGGCACAGGAGGTACTTCCTCTTAACATCCATCCCATTTTATAACAATACAATAGATGGCAGAGGCTCCAGAGATGGTTGTCCAAGGCTATGTTACCCTCCAGGCATTAATGCTCAAATACGATTATTTACTTTTTTGTGTGAAATCAGATTGTTTTGAGTGGTCATCACATTTCTAAATATATACGACTTGTATGTGATCTCCTCTGTGAAATGCATTCATAAAACCTAAGCGTGCACACGCACAGTAGAGCAGTGATGTAAACCTTTTTCAGTCGCGACCCCCGCATGCATGATCAATATAATGAATTACATAATCAGACAAGCCTTAAGTCACTACATCTATTAGCCTCTTTATCATCTTATTTTGAAACACAGATTTTTTGAAAAGCATGAAGCAGCATCAAGAGGCTAAATTTCCAAACAGAGCAACAATGGTCGGTACGTCCCATAATTTTTTGGATAAAAGTTAATGAGAGCTTAATCATGAAAAAAAAAAACTTGCTGGTCAAAAGTAGAGATTTCTTTCTGACACCTGGCCCTACTTGTTTGAACACAGCAGCTGTATTCATGGCTTTATGTTAGAAACCGCCAACTGGAGCTTAGTCTAAACTCTGAGGAGTCATGATCTTTATTTGTTATTTCATATATGTCAGGGGAAAAAAGTCTTTTGGCACAGCTAAGGAATGGAAAAACCTAAATCAGCTGCAGCTTCTGACTGTGTTGCGATCTCTGTTAGTACTGACGACTGAAACTCTTCCAGCGTTTATGCGGAGAAAGCAGGCTGTAATGGGGGATTAGAGGAGAGATGGAGCAGGGCGTCCTGCAGCTCTGATGTTAGGTGATGCAGGATGAAGGAGTTGAAAGGCTGGTGTACCCAGTCATGTTTTTGTGGCTTCTGAGGTGAAAGGCAGTAACTCCTTTTGTATTTACAATGGTTATGTCATAACTCTCCATAAAGACCTCCAGCTAGGGGAACATCTCAACACTTCCCCATCCAGTTGCACAGCCCCCCACTCCAGCTTTCTCTTAAATGCTGTTACATTATCAGAGAGAATAAGGACATTTGTGTTTGAGCCTTGTAGGGAGAAGTTTAAGCTGTTTAGTTTTTTTCAAAATGTTGGCGAAATATATGAGGCTCGCAACGCACTTTGAGCTGTCAGATAGTCAGCGAGGGGAAAACTACGGTCTAATAAAATGCGGACCTCCTTACACAGTTCAAAGAGCTGCGTTAAAACTTTGCAATGAGGAAAGCCACCTGACCTGTGTGAAAGAGAAGGGCTTCGTGGTCGGATCCAATTTCATGACAGAGTGTGGCAAAAAGTCTGCTTTGCAGGGGCCGCGATTTGATGAAATTAACGATCTTAACAGAATATTGAAGAACATCACAAAGCTCTGGGTCGAGACACCTTCTAGCAAGTGCTTCCCTGTGGATCATGCAGTGCAGATAGGGGGCCTACTTCCAAAGCGGAGGCTCTCAGACCTTTTCTTGTCCCCTGTATAGATCCAGTTCCATAACAACAGAGGCAGAGTAGGGTTACGCTGCGCTGAACCCTTTACAAACTCTGATCTTCCTGCTAAACTTGTGCAGAATTGGTCTTTGGGCACTCTTAGCTCTGAGTCTGCACTTTACCCTCCACTCTTATGTTTCGCTCTCAGCAGTACGGCTCTTCCTGCCCTCGCTACCTGAAAAAATGTATGTGGCTGATCATCCTCTGCCAAGCATAAAAAATCCTTTCAACTATCAGGATTTTATTTCTTTCAGCTCGCAAGAGGTGATGCTAAACATCCTTTAATTTCTGCCAAAAGAAATCCCTAAATTATATCCAAAGAAAGTATTTAATTGAATTCTGTTTATTTTTGGATAAAGACCCAGGTGAAAAGGTATATAGATCTTTGAATATTCTATACCCAGTGATTGTAGCATCTAGGATAGAGCTGTCAGTCTAGTAAAGAATCTGGTTGTTATTTGACTTTGTAAAGGTTAACTTTTTTTGCAACATAAAACAGACTAAAACTAGATTAAAACCTTTTTAAGTAATAGTCGACTAAAACCGACTAAAACTATCACAAATAGTAATGACTAAAATGCGAATAAAAGTAATAATTTTGTTCTGATGATGAAAACTAACACTAAATCTAAGATGGCTGCCAAAAACAACACTGCTGTGAACGCTTTCTGCAGCCACCGCAGGTCTAGTTAAGGCAGACTAACTAGTTTTGAGTAATAAAAAGCCTGTAGCAGTACGAAGAATAGCGACTTCTAATGACACACATTGGATAAATGCGACCGGGCCATTCAGACACAGGTGGCATCTGGAAAGATCAGATACGTATCAGATTTTGGACCACAGAGCCTAATGACCAGGGTCCCATTTGAAAAAATCGGATCTGTGTTAATCTCTTTGTAACCTATATAAGCTACTGGAACCAGAATTTCCTTAAGGAGTAATCCCAAGTTAAATTTGAGTGAGATCAGTAAAGTGTCTGTCTGGCTTTACAGTCAAATTGTTAAAAGTTAAGTAATCTGTTTACATTTTTATTTGTTTAAAATGTTTAGGCCCACCTGAATCCATTTTCTGTTCCTTGTTTTACAGGTTGAGTGGCTGTAACCTCTCAGAAAGAAGTTGTAAAGTTTCAATGTCAGTTCTACGGTGCCAACTTTCTAATCTGGTACATCTGGACCTGAGTAACAACGACCTACACGATTCAGGGGTGAAACTCTTGTCTTTTGGGCTGTTGGGTCCACAGTGCAGACTGGAAACTCTTGGGTATGACTCTAATTTATCATTGTATTAACTTTTGGGATTGTCTAGGTCAGGGGTTGGCAACCCAAACTGCTCAAAGAGCCATATTGGACCATATCTTTGTTGCATTGATGAAAATATAGAAACAGGATAAAGGAATCTTTCTATGGTGGACGTGTTTCTGTTGGGAGGAGCTGATTGAGTCATGAGGAACCAATCAGGAACTAGCTCTGCTAACAATCCAAGCACACTGGGCTGAAGCCGCTTGTCTAAGGCGGCGTAGCGCACTAACTGCACCCCGCAAAAGCATCTTGCAGGCGTCAGCAGAGGCTGATTGAAGCCAAAATAAAATGGAGCCTGGATGGAAGGAGAAGGGAGATAATCTGCAGGTGATAGAGACGGACATGCTGCCAGATCCCACCTGCCCCTCGCTCAGCAGCTCCATCCAGGCTCCTTTTATTTTGACTTCAATCAGCCTCTGCTGACTCCTGCAAACAGCATTTGCGCTGTGCAGTTAGAGCTCAGAATGCTGTCTGGCCTTACCTCTGTTGTCAAGTTCATTTGCCCCCCTGTTTTAGGCACTCAGACCAAAGCAAACATGGAGCGGTGCAAGTCTACTGCCTTATTGGCACCAAACGTAAAAGCAGCCCTATTTTAAAGCACACAGATTCAAAACCTGTGGAAGTTTTGTAGCTAACCCTAACCCTTCCATCTAAGATCAAATTCATCCACTGAGTCTTCAGGGGCTCAGATGAAGGCAGGAAAACAGCCTTAGCTCAGCCATGTCTATTTGGATGTTCGTTCTCGATGAGCAGAAAGATGTCGCCTGATAGAGAGCAGGTTCAGATGGGGCGAGTGTCACCCCCCCACTCCCACCCCATTTATGTGTGCATTTTGAGCACACATCACATTAGCTAAGAGGTGGAGAAAGGCAGTAAGAGAACGGCTTGCATATGACTTACAAAATGTTTATGAAGCAAATTTCTCATAATTGTTGTTTTGCTATTCTATCTTTCGCCGTCTTGTTCTTTAGGGCCTCTGCTTTCTTCTCTTATTCTTAGTTTCGTTATTATGGAACAATAATATTCATGAGGTTGATTATTCAGACTTTTACACTCTTATTAAAAACCTGATTACTTCCAATTATCTGTTAATCTTTATATAAATATTTGCAGGTTTTACTTGCTTCTGTGTTATGTCCAAAGGTTGTCTTTTTTCATCACATGGGATTCCTTTGTGTTCTTTAACATGCTTATGTTAGAGTGTAATGTTTTTCTTTGTTCGGGGCATGGGTTGTATGTGTCATGTATTTGTGTCTGCAGATTGTCAGGATGTCTGATCACAGAGGAAGGCTGTGCTTGTCTTGCATCAGTTCTAAAAGCCAATCCTTCTCCTCTGAAACACCTGGACCTGAGCTACAATCACCCTGGAGAGAGAGGATTTAGGAGCCTATCATCCATAAAGTCGCTTAAATTTCTCAGGTATATGGGAAGCTTTGAACTTTTTCTGTGCTATAGGCTTATAGGCTACCTTGAAAATAAAATTTTTTTCCCCCATAAATAATAAAAGCATAAAGTTTATTTTATCTCTCTAATTTAATCACAACTCAATCTGGGTTTTGCTGCTGAAAGAAACCACAGTGAAATACTCTACTCTCATTTCAGATTGGAACCTGCTGGTGTTCAGTGGTTGAAACCAGGGCTGAGAAAATGTACGTATATTTTTCATTAGACCTGTGGCACTAAATAAGTATGCATTCAACTATTTAATACTGTCAGTTGACCTAAAGTTAATTTTATTGCTGCAGTCTACATGTCTTGTGGTCTTCCTTCCCGCTTCCCATCCAGGAAGCTTGTGTGAAACTACATCAAATCTGTCTGACTAAAAAAAAATCGCTCAAACTAGTCTTGTCCATTTTAGAATACAATCATTACAAACTGCAAATAATAAAGTCCTTCTCTTGAGCAAGCAAAGGCAACAGTGAAGGGGAGTGAATCCTTTTTATCAAGAAGAACAGTCAATAGAACCAAAACCAGACTCTATCACTCTATCTCTATCACTCGCCTGGAAAAAAAAGACTCATAGGTGAGAATGCTGTTCATCGACTTCAGCTCAGCATTCAATACAATTATACCCCAACAGCTGATATACAAACTGGACAAACTGGGCCTCAGCACCTCCCTCTGTAACTGGCTGCTGGACTTCCTGTGCCAGAGACCGCAAGCAGTGCATATAGGATGTTCCGAGGACGGCTTGTTGCTCTCATATACTTTATATAGTTGAGAGATGAAATCCAGACCAGATCAAAACTGTCAATAAAAGTGGCCTGGAGCTGCTTATACACCTAATCTTTCTCTTATGTTTTATTGTTGTCAGTATTGCAATATGCAGTGGATCACGACCACAGTCTGAATTAACTGAAGTTAGAGAGATCTGCTGCTTTTCATCTTTGGTTGCAAACAGGGGATTAGCGCCACCTACTGTACATGGGATCAATGGAAATATGATTTTCATACATTGGGATCTTTTAATTAAAATTCTGTACATTAAAAAGCCATTGTTGAAACATTCTTTATTTAGTGAGGTATTAGTGAAGTATATAAAATATTCCAAAGTCCTTTCAAAGCTAAAGAGAAGTTACAACAAACAAGGTATTGTTGCAGTATTTATTTTCCGGAAATCTGCTTAAGTGACTCAATAGAAAACAAAATTACAGAATTTGTCAAGAAAGACATTTGAATGTTTATTTTATTTTTTTACAGGAACAAAAGGTCTCGAGCTTTTATTCTAAAATTTAAAAAAATTACAGAAAATGTTTAAGGTGGTGAGCAGTAACTGCCTTGCAGCTTTTAAAAACCAAGCAAAAAAAAGTATTTTACTGTATAAGCCAAAATTAAGTCACAGAAAGTTATCAGTCAAACCAGTAGAACATGTTTTGCCTTGCATCTTTTCAAATGGCATAAGCCAAGTGCTCTGGCATTACTTCTCTTGCAAATAACAGTGAGGTTCTACTTAATGAACAGTGGTGCACTTGTGGACAGCATTACAACACTGAAAGAAATTCTTTCTAAATAGATGTTGTTAGTTTTTTGTTGTTGTTTATGTCCCTAACTGTCAGAATTGTTCCCCCCTTCCTAAGTATTTTAGCTCCGTATTTGTCATTGTTCTCTGCTGGATTCTAACAATGCCTGTCTGCTTTCTTGTGTTACTTTCTACTGTCCATTCATGAAGAAGCTCACAGCTCACATGACTTTATTGATAATACGTCATCTAAATGTCTGCAAAATAAAGATGATGGATCAATACCTGGGTTGTCTTTTTTTTCTTCCCTCTATCAGATTCCTGTCAGCTCACCATCGACACAAACACTGTGAACAAACACCTCAAACTGTCTGAAGACAACAGGAAGGTGACACGTGTGTGGGAGGCTTGTATGTATCCTGATCATCCAGACAGATTTGACGTCAGTCCTCAGCTTCTGTGTGAGACTCCTCTGACTGGTCGCTGTTACTGGGAGGTAGAGTTGAGAGGAGACGTCAGCCTTGGTGTAGCTGGAAAAAGAATCGGAAGAAAAGGAAATGATGAGAGCTGTGTGTTTGGAGAGAACGATCTGTCATGGTGTCTGAACTGCTCAGAGGAAGGTTATTCTGTCTGTTCAAATGACATAGTGACTCCCCTCTCCTACTGTTCCAACTCCTGCCTCATGTCTGACAAAGTGGGGGTCTATGTGGATTATCCTGCTGGTACTTTGTCCTTCTACAGAGTCTCTTCTGACTCTCCGATTCACATTTACACCTTCAGCACCACATTCACCGAGCCTCTGTTTGCTGGCTTTAGGCTCAGCCATCAATTTAAGCCAGGGTTTAAATCCGTTTCCTCAGTCTCCTTGTGTTGAGTATAAAGGCAATCCAGCATTATTGATAACTACTATAAAATACCTGGCAGGAATTTTGTTCTTCACGTTCTTCTTTGTAAATAAATGAAGCAGAGTTTCAGAATGCTGAAACACAGACTTCTTCCTGCTCTGATCTGCTCTGCATTTAAGCAGGACTCTGCATCAGCCACAGCTTGGAGGGTCTGACTTTTTATTTATGAATAATAACTAACAAAAATACAGAGGAGGAACTTCCCAAAAGATGAGGAATTTAACACTAATTTCACCATTTAGAAAACATTAATTAGACAAATTTGAAAAAAAAAAGAAAAACCTGTTTAACCTTCGTTATGAGCGATTGTTTGTTTACCAACATGTGCTGCCGTTCAGCATCAGTTTGTAGATCTATAGGTGCTGATAATTAGAGATTGTCTTTAGAATAGTGAGCTGAGGTGAAGCTCCACAGCGCCTCCTGTTGGCATCTGTTTATTACTGTTCCAGATGGGAGAAAATGACCAAATGAACAGATATTTTCAGCTTATTTACACTACTTTTTTATTATTTCCATGTAGATCTATGGGGGGAACGTTGTCTTTGTGACTAAATGTTTAATATATGTTGAATCTGATTATTTTGATATTCTGTCTTTGATTAAGTTCATATTATGTACTAAGGTGATTCTTTTTATCATTTTGACTTTGACTTTTCCTGTGATTTAAACACTACAACTTTGATTCCTTGGCAGATCAGGCATTTAAAGAACTTTTTCTAACTTTTGGTCACAAATTTGATTAAGTTTTGCTGTTTTTTGCTATATAGTCCATCCAATAATTTCAAGGATTTGCTGACAGTAAATCCCTACATGGATTGCTTATTTTTACAATAAGTTGTACTATTTTGTGACTTGAAATGTTTATGAATTTAAATACCTGTATACATAAAAGCCATCAAGAGGAAGTCTTTTTTTAGTGAGCGTTGCTGCATTATCTGAAAGTTAATTACAATTGTTTTTATAATTGATGCTGTTCGTCAGATTAGTTCATGCTTTACAAAATGTAACTCATTACATTTTTGTTAAATCTTTTTGTGGACAAACCTTACATACCCATCCATTAAGAGTCAATGCAATAACATGTTCAGTATATCTCTATATAGGTTAAAGAGCCCTTTAGCAATATATATACAACTATGCCAAATGCCAATTCTTGCAGAAAAAGTGTCTAAACGTTTCCATTTACTGTAAACATTTGTACAGTTGTTTGACCAATTTAGTTGCAAATTATTTGTTGTAAAAATACGGGACGGGATACAGGATGTTAGATGTCAGCCAGTAGGTTTTCTCTGATTCTAGCCCTCCCTAAAATACATGAAAACCAGACAGACAGATTTTATTTATCTTTAATGCCGCTACATGCAGTAATTGTAATACAGTTTGCAGGTGCAGCATGCTTTCTGTAGGGGGAAACACCAGAGAAACCTTTGATCGTTTTACGTGGAACAGTCCAGTATTTGCATAACTGTTTTACTATTTAGTGTCAAATCATTCATTTTTTTTATTTTTACTTGTGGCTTGATGTTAAACACCTTTTGATTAAAAATTGTGTTCAAATGATGTGTTCAGTTAAGTTCAAATCTCCAGACTTTTTGAATATCTCAAAAAAGTTTGATTTGGACAAGAGGGAGACAGAAAAGCTCACATCCTGAAGAGAAGAACTATCTCTAGTAAGTTCAATTAAGTCCCAACTTTAGGACTCTTAGATAAAAATAAAAAAAAGCAGTTTTTAGCTTAAATTCAAGTGGAAGAAAAATTCCTATTCTTGATGTACCATTGTTAGGTAGATGATCCTCTGCAGTATCTCAGATCCAGTTTTTTTTTCTATCAATACTTTCATTCTCTACTGTTCCTCTTTCTATTTTTCTATGAACAAACAACCCATCATGCAGTAAGTGTTCTGTTGGCCACTTTTGTGTCTTTCTTATATCACTGTAATCAAGTGCTTAAAACCAATGACAAATAAAAATGAATCTCAGAATTGATGTCATGTTTTGTTTGCTTTTTTATAGTTGCTTAGTTACAGGTGAGCTCCAGGCTCTGAACTCCTTATCAGCTCAATTTCTCTCTTAGTTATCCAAAATGTGATTCATTTTAAACCATTAGTTTTCCCTTTTCCATCCAAATATTTGAATCTTCATTTTAGCAATAGTTTCATGATTACACTGGCAAACAGGAGGGCAACTGAAAGATGATGCTGTTTGCAATCAGCGTGTAGATCTACAGATATAGATTATCAAAGTTTTAATGAAAAAATGGGGAGAAGATGTGAAGATCAGCAGCAGAGCTACAAACATTCTCCGCGACTCCCGTCGCCGGGGCCGCGGTTGGCAGTACCTGGTGGACTGGGAGGGCTACGGTCCGGAGGACCGCACTTGGGTGCCTGGATCCTTCATCCTGGATCCATCTTTGATAGTTGATTACCGCAACTCTCTGCCATCTACATCCTTTGGACTGCCAGGAGGCGGTCGTTGAGGGGGGGGTACTGTTGGGATCTGGAGGTCTGTCCACCTTTCTCCAGCAGAGGGCGCCCTAGGTCTCCTGGAGCTGAGCTGATGACCACACCTGAGATCCATCAGGAGCAGGGACGTGCAGAGACCGTTGGAGGGGCGGGTGCTCAAAGTTAAAAGAGGGCACATGGGGCACGGATTTAAAACATTATACAGAAACATACCTTGCTGTACAACTGGTTGAAATGTACCAACCCATACTATAAATAATGGAACGTAGAATCAAAATACACCCTATCACACATACTCACATATTTGTTTGAGGTCAGTGCAAAGCGAAATGAGTGTGTTTTACCTCATGGAACAGCTTCTGTTGAGGGGGTTGGTGCTTCTGTGTTGCTGGAGTTGGGCTGTATTAATCTGATGGTACAGACACTAAAAAGAGCATGGGAGAGATAGCAGCTGATTAAACAAATGGAGTGTGTTCTTGCAAGATGCAAAGATAACTAACATTTAAAATGGCTCACTCTGACTGACCTGCCACACTGCTGAATTGCTAGAGTCTGTTGCCAAGGCTGACTGCTTAAAAACCAGTTGATCATTCAAAGCCACAAACACAACAGAAACCTGACGTACTTCCTCCCCATAGCACGCTGTGCGTGTGTGGTGGTCAATTAGATAGCGGCAGGGATGCAACTACCTACCTACATTCTGGGGCAATGAAAGTATTATCAAAGCATTTAAAAATGACTGGCGGGATCATTTTACCATGATCGTTTCTGCGCCTCCTCCAGTACCGGTGCCCTATAGTGCATACCCACTTTTTGCGCCGCTGGCTAGGGCTATAACTTGTGAGAGGTGTGTGCAAATTGCACACAGCAGAGAGGATGCTCATTGCTTACTTTACTCGGTCAGTCTACTCATCTTGCAACAATAAACCTTGCACAAACTAACACCACTGCAGCACCTACTTACCTGACCAGTTGTTTACTTTTTCTGGAGTCGCAGTGGTTATCCGCAGCAGCAGGGCACGTCACGGTAGTAAGGTTAGCTTGAGGGCACGTTGTGTGAAGCTGACGCGGCCGGTCACATGATCCAGTATATCATGTGACCGGCCACGGTTACCATGGAACAGTAGATCTAAATTATAATTGTTTTGGACATGCACAAACACACAAATACACACGCACACACACACGCAAAAAATAAAAAATAAAATAAATATATAATAATAATAATAATAAACCCTACAAAAGGGCACTTTGAGAATCAGGGACAAAGGGGCAGGTGCTCAAGCACCCTCCGCCCCCCCCTCTGCACGTCCCTGATCAGGAGACCAGGATATAAGCAACGGCAGAGCTGTTTTCCAGCGCCAGAGTGTTAAGCCAGTTATGGTTAGCAAAGCCTGAGCCAGCCAGTCTGTCTGATTCTCTGACCCTCCTGAAAATCTGAACCTAACCGACTTTGTCTTCTCTGCTTCTTAGGAAGAACCCTGATTGAATCCTGGAGCTCTGGAAGAGCTCACTGCTGAGATCTGTCTGTTGGCTCTTAGGAGTCCTCCTGAAGAACCTGCTATCTGAAACTTGCCTGCCTGCCCTCAAGAAGAGGATCGGGATAACCCCTGGATCTGAACTCTATCAGCCTGAAGTCGTGCCCTGCCGTTGCTTAGCCCTCTGCCAACTCCTAGCCTCTGGACCCTCCTGGTTCCCTCCCTCTGCTGTCACGTCTGAACCCGTCACAGGTACAAACCTGCTCATCCTCTCAGACCAAGATCATCTGAACTCTGGCTAACCAAACTGTCCCTCTCTACAGAGAGTCCTGTGTAACCAGTCCCGGATCATTGACCCACATCCGTCATTTAACTTGTGTTTGTGCTTACTTTAAAAAACAGTCAAACTTTTAACCTGCCTCTGAGTTGTTTCTGCATGTGGGTTAGAAACCTGAACCCAATCATGACAAAAGCAAAGATATGGTGATGAGTAAAGTTTGTGACGAGAGGGAAAGGTGACTTAAAGTGACTGAAGGATGAAGTGGGGCGACTGACAAGACAACATGCCCTTCTTGAAAAATCCCCAGTGACAGAGACACTGGGGATTTTTTTTTTGTGGGGAAACAAGGAGGAGGTGCACCAAAAATAAGGCTTTCCTTCTCACCGGTCCTAAATTAATTTTTAATTAATGAATTATTTGTTTTTGTTTGATAAGTGGCTGACCTTTTCGGACTGAGGTGGTGGCCTGGTTAGCTTTTCACTAAACCATGATTGTTTTAGAGTCAGTATAATCATTTCTGATCAAATTAGAACCAACCTTAAATATCTAAACCGAAAATTTACCTTTTAAAAGAGAAAAATTCAGCAGCAACTGCCTTTTGTCGGCTTCAGGACTGGAAAACAAAACGTTTATTATCAGGCCTGTGGTTGTTTAAAAACAGGACAGGTCTGGTTTTCTTCATTTCCTGCTGTCACCATGTTCCATAATGTTATGGACGGACCTGGAGATGAAAAGTGAGGCAAATCCAGAGAGAGAAAAGGGTCCAAACATGGTCTGACACAGTAGTAGTAAAATGCGCACAGGTTTTAGTCACAAACCAAATTCTCTATTTCCACAGCAGCCACTGGGAGAGATTAGCTTCATCTCTGCAGGATTTGGTGGGATGTTGCTTTGTCCCTGAATGTCTGAGGTTCTCATAGAGGAAAAAGAATGAATAATATAATCTGATAGGATAAAATCTAAAGTTATGTGTGATATTAATCTGAATTAGATTTCACTAAATGAAAACTAAGAGAAATTGATTTCCCTTTCCTCCAAAAATATTAATACACATGTATATCATTAAAACATATGAACAATGAAATCTGTGATTTTCATCCCTTAAGTGTTAAAAATAAATGTTACCATGTAGTTTGGAAAATGCAACTAAAATACATAATACATGACATGTACAGAGAATGGTTTATATGCATAAAATCATTGCAGTCAACAAGCCGTCACAAGTCTCTCCTGCATTACGCAGCGCTGTAATAGCAGTCTCTGCACGAATGACATAGTCAGCGATGCTCTCATTCACACCTTTTTGCAGAGATGCCAGCTGCCCAATGTGCCTAAGTATTTTTTCTTTAATGTGAAAAAAAGTGACCGTTAGAACATGATATAAAAAACTGGGTAGCACTGTGGCTAGCTCAGTAGCAAACAGGTTAGCCTATTTTAGCTCGCTCAGCCATATTAAGCTACACTACTTTTAACTTTGTGGGGCACAATTAATTGAAATCTTTTTCCAGTGTAGTCCTGTTTCTCTGACTGTGACTAACTGGGTGTGCTCTCAGCATCCTCAACACACTGAGCCTGGTTCCTGCTAAAAGGGAGTTTTTCCTCTCCACTGTCGCTACAAGCATGCTTACCTACTGTTTTTACTTTAAAAACTTTGAATCAATCTGACTGGATGATCTGGTTGAACTGTACAGTGCCTTGAGATGACATGATGTGAATTGGCGCTATAGAAATAAACTGAATAGAATTTAATTGAATTTTTAATCCAAACTATGATCCCATAACATGTTTAATTTTCTACTTCCATGCAGCTCGTTATATTTGGTAATGATCAGATGTTAAGGATGGCCTGTGGTCCACGCTGCCCTCAGGCTTTGCTCAAAGGCACGTTTGACTTTCTGTATATGAAGCAAATGATGGGAATGACATCATGTTTGATTTCTGTGTCCAATCATTGCTGGAATATGTTGGCTAAAGGGATTATTATCTGATCCAGGGATTGACGGCTGGATTTCCTTTCTGATTCCTGCAGGAACAGGAGAAACTTGGACAGTTAGAAAGGAAAAGATCAGCAAAACTAGGAGGACTTTAAGAAGATAAAAGGATTTTTAATTAACAAAAAAAGAGTAAATCCAGAGAGAGAAAAAGGCCTCAAATATACAAAGGAATTAACACAAGAAGAAAAAACACCTGGATAACAAGACCAGATAAAAAGAAGAGTTCTAATAACACTAGCTGTGAAAAAGGCAGCCTGTCAGTTTGATGTGTTGAGCCCTTTAAGGGGCGGGGCTTAGGGCGCCGCTGAGTAGCATGAAGATGAGGGAGGGGAGAGAAGGAAAAAGGAGCAATGGAGTTGACCGTTCTCAGTTTGTGGATTCTGTCCTGCTGTTGCAGTTTGTTGTCTCCTTCCTGTTGATGTCTGCGCGTGAAATGCAAGCGAGTGATGTCAGAAGTCCGCGACATTGTTTGTTTAATGAAGTATTTCAGTTTGCTTCTAGTTTATAACATGTTTTATTCATGTGCACACTTAAGAGTTAAATAATGTGGCTTGCTTACTCATGCGGTGTATTTAGTTAGAAAAGAGATGTTTGTACTAATATTGCAGTTTATAATGTGAGATATCAGTTTAGTTATTTGTTGAGAATTATTCAGACACTGATATTATATTTTTGTTGTCTTTCTAGAAAACTATACACATTGATATGGAAATGAATGAATAAACTGCAAGGACAAGTTTGACCTATTGGAGTACGACTCTGCTTTCGTGGGAGTTCTAACCAGACTCACCACAGCGATCTGAACTTTCCTCCTAGCAATAAAATCCCTATTTTTATTTTTAGAATCCTGAACAAGCTGCAGGAGTAAAACATGAGAATTAAGGCTTTGAATTATTCAACAAATGTGAACAACAGATTGACCAATTGACAGCCTGATTAAACGACTGATTAATTGACAGCCTGATTAAACGACTGATTAATTGACAGCCTGATTAAACGACTGATTCATTGACAGCCTGATTAAACGACTGATTCATTGACAGCCTGATTAAACGACTGATTCATTGACAGCCTGATTAAACGACTGATTAATTGACAGCCTGATTAAACGACTGATTAATTGACAGCCTGATTAAACGACTGATTAATTGACAGCCTGATTAAACGACTGATTCATTGACTGCCTGATTAAACGACTGACTAATTGACAGCCTGATTAAACGACTGACTAATTGACAGCCTGATTAAACGACTGATTCATTGCCTGATTAAACGACTGATTCATTGACTGAATGATTAAAAGAACCTACAGACCTACACCAAGCTGACAGCAGGTTTATAATATTAATTGATAAACACAATAATTGTAAATGATAATTAAACACAATCATCAATCAAAGGTCATTAAATCAAATAAATTCACATTTATTTCTATGACCCTTTATAATAGCCAAATGGTACCCAAAGTGCTTTACAACAAAGCCATAAAACAATACATGACACATATAAAACATACAGATACAATTAAAAGTGCTGTATTGGTGCAGCGCACCAATACAGCAGTGTTGCAGTGTTTTTTTATAATTGTTGCAGTGGTGCAGTGTTTTTTTATAATTGATCTCAGAGGTAGCATATATAAAGAAAACAAAATAGGGCCGAGAACAGATCCCTGTGGCACCCCACAGGGCAGCGATGTCTTTGAGGAGCAGTGGTCACCAATCACCACAGAGAAACTCCTGTTTGCTAGGTATGACCTAAAGCACTGGAGAGCGGCGCCACAGATGCCGATGTGCTCTAGGCGAGATACAGGTACTGCATGGTGGACTGTATCAAAGGCTGCTGAGAGGTCAGGCAGTACCAGCACAGCAGGATTCCCAGCGTCCACAGACAGGGCAATATCATTGTGCACCTTTAACAGTGCTGACTCGGCGCTATGTCAGGGTCTAAAGCCAGACTGAAATTTCTCAAACACAGAATTTATCTCCAGAAATGTCTGTAATTGAATAAAAACAACTTTTTCTAAAACCTTAGAAAGAAAAGGCAAGTGGGAGACAGGTCTAAAATTGGAGAGTACAGAGGGGTCAAGATGCGTTTTTTTATGAGGGGCCGAACCATAGCATGTTTGAAGGCAGCTGGAACAGACCCTGAGCTAAGACAAGTGTTTATAAAAACAAGCAGACTTGGCCCAACAGAGCTCAGAACCTCCTTCAAAACTTGGCTGGAGTAATATCTAAGGGACAGTTTGTGGGTTTCATGCCACTAACCACCTTAGTAAAAGAAAGCACAGAAATGGTCTCAAACTGCTCGAATGCAGCAGTCTGTGCCGGAGGAGCACAGACATCATCAAAAGGCATATTACTATTACAGATATTCTGCCTGACAGATTCCACTTTATCAGTGAAAAAGGACACAAACTCCTCGCAGGTTGCAGTGGAGGCATCAGACAGGACAGTAGGGCATGGATTATTGACAGAATCAATAGTATTAAATAGCAGTCTAGGATTATGAGAGCTATTATCTATTATGGAGGACAAATGTTTGGACTTGGCGTCCTTTAGAGCTCTCTGGCAAGCAGCCAAGCTGTCCCTTAACCAGCCCAGGGATACATGCAGTTTATCCTTTTTCCACCGCCGTTCAGCCTGTCTGCATTGTTGTCTGAGCAGACGGGTATGGTCATTCAGCCAGGGATCCGACTTAGTTTGGGTCGTTTTTTGCTGAAAAGGGGCAACAGAGTCAAGAATCGCAGAACATGTTGAATGGAACATGTTGAGTGTGTGCCCATACTCGTGTTTTGGTGCATTAACAGATTGAGTGATATCAAAGGAGACTAAAAGGCCTTTGAATTCGTTGGCCAGTTGATTTGCTGCACATCAAACATGAATATTAAAGTCTCCACAAATCAGCAGCTTATCAAATTTTGGAGGAAACTCAGACAAAAACTCTGAGAACTCTTGAAGAAAGTCCTTATTAGATTTGGGCGGGCGATAAACTGTGGCACACAGCACAGGGCAGGTAAGGTTGATCACAAACAGCTGCAGTTCCAAACTGGAGTAATTTTTGGTGGTTATCGTCCTGCATCTGAAGCTCTCCTTAAAGTTAGCAGCCAGGCCACACCCCGCGACCGGCAGCTCGCGGGGTGCTGACGTAGAAACAGCCGGGGGGGAGGAGCTCCGAGAAGGCGCTGTTTTCACCTGGTTTCACCCAGGTCTCTGTCAACAGCAGGAAATCCAGATCATGTGTTGTAAAAAAGTCTCTCAAGATAAACGCGAGCGGACATTTCCCGGCACGCAGCCCCGCTGGGAGATCCGCACTGGCCGACAGCATGGAAACAGCACTCCGGTGTCCCAAAGGACCGGTCGGAGCCACCGATATCTGTACTCCGTGGAACTCCGTAGATCGTAGCCACTGTAGTGTGTGGATGGTCTGGATGGAAGACGACAGGGTTCATGGAGGGAGGCAGCCAGAAACATTTTCAGTTTACTCAGGACTCCCCCTCGCTTTCCGCGTTTTCTGCGGCAACCGTTGCAAGGTAACCAGCAGGAAGGACGCCACAGATGCGGCGGTATAGACTCCAGGTAAGGCGGAAGCCTCTTTGAGTGTCCAGCAAAGCCGCAAATTGGCGGTTTTTCCAAAGATTTAAAAATATTAAAAAGTGTCAGGCGATCATACACCAACAGTGGTGACACACTACGCACAACAAACAGCAGCTACAGGAAAAACATTAACACTCTCAGCAGAGGGAGACGGCCAGCCAAACACAGGGGCGCCATCTATTAAGATAAAAAAGGTCAATCAGGAACCAAACTAATTAAATTCAAAACCTTAAAACCATCATATAACTATTAAAAAGCTCCTAATTTCATGCAAACAGGAACAGAATCTATGGAAAACAACAAAAAACTTTTTTACTATTTTATGGTAAAAAAAAAAAGTTTTCTGAAACAGGAGAAAACCTGAATGTTTCTGTCTGTAACAGCAATAATGATAAAGCAAGACGTTTGGATCAAACTGATGATGATGATGCTAAAAGCATGAAGGCTTTTCAGCAGGACTGATGGAACGCGTCTCTCCGGGTCTAAACCAAACAGAGAGACACGGAGGAACCCGGCCTGAAGCCGACTCCAAACCCAGGATGCAGAGGTTCAGAGAAGCTGGTGCTGAAGGTGTGGATGTGGATCAACGAGTCTGAGGAGACTCTGTAGAAGGACAGCAGGCCAGCAGGATGGTCCAGATAGACGGCCACTCTGCTGGTGACCAAGGAGGAGGAGGAGGAGGAGATGGAGTTGAGACTAACCGATGTTCCTTTGTTGTTGTGATAGACGGAGTAAATGCCGTCAGAGCAGAAGAGACTCCAGGACTTTTCATTGTATCCCAACTCACAGAGGTCGCTGTCTCCCTTCCTGCCGATTCCTCTGTAAGTCACTGAAACATGAACTCTTCCTTTCCGCTCCACCTCCCAGTAGCAGCGGCCAAACAGAGCGTCTCTGCACAGCAGCTGGCGGCACCAGTCGAACCTGTCCGGATGATCCGAGTAGAGCTGGTCCTCCTCCTCATGCGTCACCTTCCTGTTATCCTCAGACAGCTTTAGGTTTCTGTGCATCGTGTTCCGGTCAAAAACAAGCCGACGGGAATCTGATGAAAGAAGCAGGAGCTGAGCTTTGATCCTTTAGCCTTATTAATACTAAATAAAAACAAATACTTACACTTCCTTAAACCTGGTTTCAAGTATTGGACTCCAGCAGGCTCCATCCTGAGAACATCAGAGGTAATAAAGCTTTCACACTAAATCTAATAGAAACGCTTTTTTTTTTCTTTTTGGTTCACAACCAGTTAAACTGAGATTTATGAGGTGATGAAATATCAGTTTAACCATCGTAAGGCTTAAAACACAACAACTCAAGAAAAGACTAAACCGATTTTCACTGCAGCTATTTCTGCACCTGAGAGTCTCCAGTCTGGAACGGCCATCTTCTAATCGAGCCGTCATCAATTTCTCTCCATCTTCTCCTGGATGGTTGTAGCTCAGGTCCAGGTCCCTCAAATGAGACGGGTTGGAGCTCAAAGCAGCGGCCAGAAAAGCACAACCTTCCTCTGTGATCAGACAGCCTGACAGGCTGCAAAATGATTCATTATTAATAGAGTTACAGAAACATCCCAGAAATGAAGCATAGAAACAGATTCAGGAGAAGAAAACCAGATAAATTAACCTCCTGACCTTAGAGTCTGCAGTTTGCAGTGTGGACTTGCCAGGCCTGCAGACAGGAGGTTCACCCCCGAGTCGCTGAGATCATTGTTAGTGAGGTCCAAGTCAGTCAGACGAGAGGACTGGGACCATAGTACAGAGGACAGATGTTTGCAGCTGGTTCCCGACAGGTTACAAGAGCTCAGGCTGGTTTGAAAAGAAAGAATTAATTTAAAAAAATCATGAATACACCCAAATAATTCTACTTCTTTATTTATTTACCTAGAGTGAAGAGAAGAAGAAAATATTTACTACTAGAAGCAGCATGTCTACATTGAGGCAGAACCAGGAATCAAACCTGATATATTTCAATCAATACTTTATGTAGTCCAAAGGGAAATTTAATTCTAGTAAAGTAATCTCTAGAGGTTCTTCCTCGGGGCGTGATCTACAGCTCTCACTGGAGCGATTTACAGCCGAGAGTGAAGCGGCTGAAATGAGGATCAGTGCGTCCAAATCCGAGACCATGGTCTTGAGCCAGAAAAGGGTAGAGTGCCTTCTCCGGGTTGGGGAGGATGTACTGCCCCTAGTGGAGGAGTTTAAGTATCTTGGGGTCTTGTTCACGAATGAGGGGAAGATGAAGCGGGAGGTCAATAGGCGGATTGGTACGGCATCTGCTGTGAAGCGGGTGCTGTGCCGGTCTGTTGTGGTGAAGAAAGAGCTGAGCCAAAAACAGCAAAGCTCTCAATTTACCGGTGGATCTACGTTCCTACCCTCATCTATAGGGTCCTGGATACAAGGAGCCGGTTGAGGTGGCTATGACATCTGATTAGGATGCCTCCTGGACGTCTTCCTGGTGAGGTGTTCCAGGGACGTCCCACCAGGAGGAGGCCCAGAGGGAGACCCATGACACGCTGGAGGGACTATGTTTCTCAGCTGGCCTGGGAACGCCCTGGAATTCACCCAAAGAGTTGGCCCAAGTGGCTCGGAAAAAGGACGTCTATGCCTCCCTACTGAAGCTGCTACGCCCACAAATGGACCCCGGATAAGTGGAAGAAGATGGATGGATGGATGGAACATATATTCAATAAAAAATATAGTTCATAGAAATAATACAAGCCTCATTTCTTTAGGATTCCATCCAAAGACCAAGGTGGAAATGTAGCAATAGCTGCCATATCTCTCTACACTAGACTAGACCAAGACAAGACGTACTTAATCAATGTTACAAAGGGAAATTCATTGTTACAATGGCTCTCAGTGACACAGACTCGGTTCAAACTGGGTGCAGACTGGCACAGATTAACTTATGTTGAATATAAAAAAGGTTTGGATCCTTAAATGGCACTACCTTACAGCTGCGATAAACTTCAACATAAAACCACTGGATGTCTTACCTCAGAATTTCCAGGGCACAATCTTGACTCTCCAGTCCAGAACATAAGAGGAAAACTCCCGAGTCCTTCAAGTTGTTGTTACTCAGGTTGAGCTCTGTCAAGCTTGATGAGTAGGAGCCAAGAACCGATGACAGTGTCTCACAGCTTCTGTCTGAGAGGTTACAATGGCTCAGGCTGAAAAAGGAGATAGGGGTAATCTTAAAGTGGGGAGTATAATCATTGTATATAAAACTTAAAGCTAAATACTGACATAGCTTTCTTTGATTGTTTGACCACCGGCAGCAATCTTAGGAAGGTATCCTCTGAGGCTGAATACTTTTTCAGGTCAAAAGTATCAAGACTTTGTTCAGATGAAGTCAAGATAAAAGCCAGAGCTGACCACTGGGCAGGTGACAGTCGTTCTGGGGAGAGACTTCCTGAATCCAGTGAACGCTGAATCTCCTCCATCAAGGAACGGTCGTTCAGCTCGTTCAGACAATGAAAAAGGTTTATGCTTTTTTCTGCTTGTAGATTCTCACTGATTTTCTTTTTGACATACTGGACAGTTTCCTGATTGGTATTGGAACAGCATGGGGTTTGTCTCAACAAACCTTCCAGAAGTCTCTGGTTGTTCTGTACTGAAAGACCCATGAAGAAGCGCAGGAACAAGTCCAGGTGCCCGTCGGAACTCTGCAATGCCTTGTCAACAGCACTCCTGTAAATATCCGTTTCTGCAGACTCGTCTTCTCTCGTCTCAGTTCTCCAGGATGTTGACTGTTCTTCCATCAGGTTGATCCCAGAGTTGATGAAGGTCAGATGGACGTGAAGAGCCGCCAAAAACTCCTGAACACTCAGATGGACAAAGCAGAATACCTTCTTCTGGTGCAGCCCTGTCTCCTCTTTAAAGATCTCTGTGAACACTCCTGAGTAAACTGAGGCTGCTCTGACATCGATGCCACACTCTAGCAGGTGTGATTCATAGAAGATAGCGTTTCTTTTCTGAAGCTGATAAAAAGCCAGTTTTGCCAGGGACACAATGATTTTTCTGCTCTCTGGACTCCAGTGTGGATCTGCCACAGATGCTCTATCATATTTGGTCTTCCTCATGTTAATCTGAAACACCAGAAAGTAGATGTACATCTGAGTTAGGGTCTTGGGAAGCTCCCCTCTCTTTTCTACTTCCAACACCTCCAGAACTGCAGCAGCGACCCAGCAGAACACTGGGATGTGGCACATGATGTGGAGACTCCGTGATGTCCTGATGTGGGAGATGATCTTGCTGGCCTTCTCCTCGTCTCTGAATCTCTTCCTAAAATACTCCTCTTTCTGACGGTCAGTGAACCCTCTGACCTCTGTAATCCTGTCAACACACTGAGGAGGGATCTGATTGGCTGCTGCAGGTCGTGTGGTTATCCAGAGGAGAGCAGAGGGAAGCAGATTCCCCCTGATGAGGTTTATCAGCAGAACATCCACTGAGGTGGACTCTGTAACATCAGTCAGGACCTCATTGTTGGTGAAGTCCAGAGGAAGTCGACTCTCATCCAGACCATCCAAGATAAACAGAACCTGGAAGTCTTCAAAGTTGCAGATTTCTTTGGTTTCAGTGAAGAAGCGATGAACAAGTTCCACCAAGCTGAACCGTTTCTCTTTCAGCACATTCAGCTCTCTGAAGGTGAATGGAAATATGAACTGGATGTTCTGGTGGGCTTTGCCTTCAGCCCAGTCCAGAGTGAACTTCTGGGTTAAGACTGTTTTCCCAATGCCAGCCACTCCCTTTGTCATCACTGCTCTGATTGGTTGATCTCTTTCAGGTGATGGCTTTAAAATGTCTTCTTGTCTGATTGTTGTTTCTGGTCTGTGTGGTTTTCTGGATGTTCTTTCAATCTGTCTGACCTCATGTTCATCATTGACCTCTCCAGTCCCTCCCTCTGTGATGTAGAGCTCTGTGTAGATCTGGTTCAGAAGAGATGGGTTTCCTGCTTTAGCGATTCCCTCAAACACACATTGGAACTTCATCTTCAAGTTTGACTTGAGTTTGCGTTGACAGTTTCCAGCTCCAGTCCCTATTAGAACACAATATATCATCAATACCACCCGGAAAAACGCTAATTGTCTTAAAGTGGTAAAAGTGATGATGGCTAGATTAGAAGATAAACAAATAAACATCTAATGCTAATAAATATATGTGTTTGTTTAGCCTTTTAGGCTTTGTCCAGGTCAGGTTTCTGCAAAAAAGAAAAAAAAAAGTCAAATCTGTGGGGCGTTAAATATTTAGTTTGCAAACTAAATATTTAATCTGAAGCTAAATATTTATTAAAAAAACTAAATATTTAGTTTGCAAACTATTTTAACTGTAGTTTGCTTTTTTTCAGCCTTAGGCATTGTAATAAAAAAAAACAGCGTCTAAACTTAAAAAAAATAATAATCAGACCGTTGTTATTATTCAGCTTGGAGCTGCGTGCATTGATCCAGTCTCAGCTGTGTGTTTCACACAGCTCTGCTTTATGCAACCCAGCCCTGCCTACCCTTGTTTATAACCTTATTTTATTGGTTACAAAGCCCAACAGCCCATGTGGTCCTAGCCAATAACAGCAGGACTCTATGAGGCTCTACTCTGTGCATCATTGGAAGAAAGGCAAATAGGGAGCGCTTGTGAGACTTCACTGGCTGTCCCTGACACTTGCGTCTTGTAGATAAGCAGACGATGTAAAGAGCCATACCAAACATCACGGGCTAACAACTGAGGAAATAAGGCCCCGCCCACACGAAGTCAAAACGAACACGGAACGCTAATATTTTCCAGAACGTTTGTCGTAAAGACGGAGACGTAAAATAAATGTGATCGTCCACACGAATGCATGAAAACGCTGCAAAATGTATGCCAGGCCTGTAAGTGGCGCTGTGGTGCCAAAGCAAAAATAGGCGACGAAATGTTGGGCATGCGCACTAATATTTATTCATGGTTGCCCTGCGGGTCCATTTTGGTGGTTCAGTCAGATTCAGGTGCTGAACTATGTGGTCGATATTGCTCTGTTCTTCCTGGAGATATTCCAGAAGAAGAAGATTCTGTTGTAAGCCCGACAGCAGGGTGAGTAGCATGAGCAGCAACCATTCAACACAGTACGGCGCCATTGTTGTTGTGATACTGTGTCGCGCATGCGTGTTTAGAGGCGACGCTATGACGCATGCGTGTAAGAAAAAAAATGCGGTTAGAGCTTAAAGATGGAAATGCGAAAACGGCGTTTCAAAATCTTCCCCATTATGAAGGCTTAATTAAAAAAAAGATCGTTTACAGACCCCCGAAACGCCGGCTTCGTATGGATGAGAGGCTGGTTTGGTGAAAAATTTGTGCGTTTAGGCCAGGGTTTGGCTTCGTGTGAACGGGGCCTAAGTATTACATTTCTGATCTGGATTACTTGATGCTGAGATGCTGGATTACTTTTAATCTGTGGACCCTTATGAATGAATGAAGTATAAACCATTGAAGATTGGATGCCTTCAAAGGAATGTAGCTGTGGCTGACTTTTTATGTACACATGTTGACATGCTGCTATGTCTGTGTTAATTGTCCTTTGGTGCTTGCAGTGTCCATAAAATGAACTTGGTGGTTGAATTGTGGAGAATCTAAGCTTTCCAATGATGTATAACATGTCTATATTGGTAAACATTTTACAGCTGGAGTTATTAGTTGTAAATGCTTTAAAAGTGGTCATCTGCGATTGGGTGGGTTTGGAGAGGTTAAGGAGAGTTTGGGATTAACATAATGTTTCTCATAACAAGCTAGAATGTTTCCCAAGGATATTTCATATAGTGTGTTTCCAACTGTTTGGGTAATAGTCTTTGAAGAGCTTCACAGCCTTCCTGCAGGGTTATAATTAGTGAGTTACACTTTGCCTAACCAGAGCAGAGCTGATGTTCTCTTTTTCTTTAATCTATCTCCATTTATTTAAGTGGACTGTACAGTTCAGTGGTCACCAAATAGAAATCAACGGGGTCCGAATATAGAAACTCAATAAGTAAAGGTCTGCAGACATTTTTAACAAGCTGTTACTTTAAACAGAATTTAACACTAAAATAAAATGAGGTTTTTATGCATCCATGTTATAGATTGAATTTTTTAATAGACAATATTATAGAAAATTGCCTGCTGTGTCTAGAAGTACCTAGCAGCAGCAACCCAGACTGCAGTCCGCTATTCCTTGACCTCTGCTCTATGCCGCATCTCAGTACAAGGTCCATTGTATGAAGATGAGAATGTGTGGGACTATTCACATTTTGAACAAAGCCAATATGTCTAAGATAGCATTAAATGCTACACTTCAGCTATCAACTTCATTGTCACCATGGATGTTAAAACCCTCCACTATGATGTCGTCGGACAACATGCAATAATTTATAAATGTTTTAAATCAGGTTGGGTCCGGATTAGCCAGCAGGTGTGTCCGGATCCAGACTGCGATCCGCTAATCCGTGACCTCTGGTATAGTTTAATCATTTTTTTCCCATAACAATTGGTAATAAAATATTGATTTATCAGAGATTAATTTCCTTTTTATTCACTAAATGTGATCTTCAACATAAAGGTTGTAGCTCAGGCTTTTGCACACCTGCGAGGCTACGCACAGTCTGGGTACAAGGAGCCCAGACTCCTTCAGACTCATCGCCTGTTTGCTGAAACTGTCGCTGGTTTCATTAAGATCTCCACAGCTCTTCTGCTTTCAGTTTAAGGATGAAAACTTTGTTGAGATCAGAGCAGGACTGGTCATTAGAGCTGTGAAGCCTGTCAGGATTGTCTATCTGACTTACTGCTCTGCAGGCGGTCAGCCATTCCCTCCTGCTTCATCCTCCTCAGGAAGTTCATGGTGATTTTCACCAAAGCTTCTCTGCTGCTCTTGATCTGCTCTTCATCCTCACCCTCATCCTCCCACTGACACTCTAAGCTTTCCTCCAGACTCAGAACCTTCTGGATCTTCTTCAGCTCCTTCTTCACAAAAGTGACAATGTTTTCCTCCAGCAGCTGAAACAGATCAATACATGAAGGGCTCATCAGGCTGAGATGATGGAGCCAAACATCAGACCCATGTTGGACATCAGTAATAGAAGCACAGACCATGAATATGGAGTCCAGCTCGGTTTGATGCTGCTGGGCAGATGGACCACTGGGAACCTCTGAGCTCTGCTGGTAGAGTCTGTGGAGGAACCAGGAAGCATTAACTCACATTCTGAACAACAACAAAGGTCCACGCGGTGTCCTGCTCCACAACCAGTGTATTTTTAAATAGAAAGTGGGAATTTATTACATTTATGTGCATAACAGTGAAAATGCTGTCTAATAACTCTACCAATTGGGAGCATATATAAAGTAAAGAGAATTGGTCCTAGCACTGATCCCTGTGGTACTCCACAGGTAACCTTTGAGCATGTTGAAGATCTGTCATTAGCATGAACAATCTGAAATCGATCAGATAGATAAGATTTAAACCAGTCTAGTGCTGTTCCTTTAATTCCAACAAAATATTCAAGTCTTTCTAAAAGAATATTATGGTCAACTGTATCAAATGCAGCACTAAGATCCAACAGGACGAGCACAGATACAAGTCCATTATCTGAGGCCATGAGAATATCATTAGTGACTTTCACCAGAGCTGTTTCAGTGCTATGATGAGCTCTAAAGCCAGACTGAAACTCTTCAAAAAGTTCATTATGGTGGAAGTGATCGCACACTTGTTTGGCAACTACTTTCTCAAGAATTTTAGATCAGAAAGGAAGATTGGATATAGGTCTATAATTAACCAAGTCATCTGGGTCAAGAGACGGTTTCTTAAGCAGAGGTTTAATTCCAGCAACCTTAAAAGCCTTTGGTACATATCCCTGTAACAGAGATAGATTAATCACATCTAAAATGGAGGAGGAGATCAAAGGGAATACCTCCTTAACCTTTTCATAACATGAGGACCCAAATTTGGGTCCTCAGCACTCGCCTGAGGCATATTTCTCGAAAACAGGCCTAGTGTCCAAGAGGTTAAATAACCTGGTTGGAACTGGGATCTAACATCCAAGTTGAAGGCTTAGATGAAGACAATAGTTTTGCTAACTCTGAAAGTTCAACTGGATCAAAGCAGTCTAAACCCGGTTCAGATTCCATGACTACCTCAGGTACAATCGCGGATAGAGGAGTGCTTATGATCTTATTTTTAATAAGATAAATCTTATTTATAAAGAATCCCATAAAATCATTGCCGCTAAGAGCAGGTGGAATGGACGGTTCAACAGAGCTATGGCTCTGGGTGAGTTTGGCAACTGTATTAAAAAGAAATCTAGGATTATTCTTATTCTCCTCTATTAATGAGGAGAAATATGCTGCTCTTGCTTTACAAAGGGTCCTCTTATACAGCAGGAAACTATTTTTCCAGACTAGGTAGGATTCCTGTGGAGCGATATTTTGTCTCCAGTTTCCTAGCATTTTGCTTCAAAGTACGCAGCTCTGCATTAAACCAAGGAACAAGCTTTCTATTTTTAACGGTTTTCATTTTCGTTGTCTAAGGCAATACGCAGAGAACTAGCAACCCCATCAACAAATTCATCAACCTGTGAAGGGGAATAAGCTAAGCTTTTGCACTCTGCAGCACTGCTCAGCGACACAGAGGAGAGAGAAAGTGAAGCAGATTCTTTAAAATGTATAACTGCACTATCTGATAATTCAATTCTATCCAGTTTATTTCTATAGCTCCAATTCACATCATGTCATCTCAGGTCACTTTCCAGTTCAACCAGATCATCCAGTCAGATTGGTTCAAAATTTTCTATTTAAGGAAAACCAGCTGATTGCATCGACTCATTGACTCTTCAGCAATCCCTCACACTAAGCATGCTTGTAGCGACAGTGGAGAGGAAAAACTCCCTTTGAACAGGACTAATTAGTTTGAACATTTAGAAGCGGCTCACCTTTTTGCAGGTAATCGTTGGTCTGATTTAAATTCATAGAAGGCGTCCTTTGACATGTCGCTCTTTAAGGACACACAGCTGGGTTCTGGTCCAGGTTCTGGTCCAGGTTCTGGTTCTGGTCGTTTCCTGTGGATAGAGATGCTTTGGTGATGTTCATGCTGAGCTCTGACACAGAGGAGAGTCCTGGACAGTTAGAGGTGAATATATGAACTTTAACCTTTGCTTTTATATTTCCTTCATTCTTTCTTTGTTTAATCACCTATAAATCAGACATGGTGACATTTAAAATAGTGGTTCCACCTGGAAAATATTCCTTAATGCCTTTCAGTCACACAAATACAAGAAACTGTGTTTCCAATTTATAGTCTGGGAGCTGAACTTGCTTTAATCCACAGATGGAATTTCAGGTGGAATTTGCTCCTAAGACCCTCAGAGCTTAAAGGGTTAACATGTTAAACTAATTAGTTTAAACATTTAGAAGCGGCTCACCTTTTTGCAGGTAATCGTTGGTCTGATTTAAATTCATAGAAGGCGTCCTTTGACATGTCGCTCTTTAAGGACACACAGCTGGGTTCTGGTCCAGGTTCTGGTCCAGGTTCTGGTTCTGGTCGTTTCCTGTGGATAGAGATGCTTTGGTGATGTTCATGCTGAGCTCTGACACAGAGGAGAGTCCTGGACAGTTAGAGGTGAATATATGAACTTTAACCTTTGCTTTTATATTTCCTTCATTCTTTCTTTGTTTAATCACCTATAAATCAGACATGGTGACATTTAAAATAGTGGTTCCACCTGGAAAATATTCCTTAATGCCTTTCAGTCACACAAATACAAGAAACTGTGTTTCCAATTTATAGTCTGGGAGCTGAACTTGCTTTAATCCACAGATGGAATTTCAGGTGGAATTTGCTCCTAAGACCCTCAGAGCTTAAAGGGTTAACATGTTAAACTAATTAGTTTAAACATTTAGAAGCGGCTCACCTTTTTGCAGGTAATCGTTGGTCTGATTTAAATTCATAGAAGGCGTCCTTTGACATGTCGCTCTTTAGGGACGCACAGCTGGGTTCTGGTCCAGGTTCTGGTTCTGGTCGTTTCCTGTGGATAGAGATGCTTTGGTGATGTTCATGCTGAGCTCTGACTCAGAGGAGAGTCCTGGACAGTTAGAGGTCATAATCTGACCTTTAACCTTTGCTCTTTTAAATACATTTCCTTAATAGAAAAGCTTTTCCTTCAATCCCTGTCAACTCTGTCGTGTCCAAATCTCTCACTAATGTAGTCACAGATGGTCTGGTTCAACCCTTGATTCCTTTATACTGTGAAAACTAGGCTTAAAACTTTCCTTTTTGATAAAGCTTCTAGTTAGAGTGGCTCAGGTTATCCTGATCTATCTCTATAGTTCTGCTGCTATAGGCTTAGACTGCTGGAGGACATAGGGACCCCTTTTTCCTTTTTCTATGTCTGCTTCTGTCTCCTTGAACCCCAGTGGGCCTCAGCAGATGGCCGCTCACACTGAGCCTGGTTCTGCTGGAAGTTTCTTCCTGTTCTAAGGGAGTTTTTCCTCTCCACTGTCGCTACAAGCATGCTTAGTGTGAGGGATTGCTGAAGAGTCAATGAGTCGATGCAATCAGCTGGTTTTTCTTTGATAGAAATAAACTGAATTGAAATTGAATCTTTCTAAACGGTCAGTTAACTGAGTTTACTACATAGTCTCCACTCCAGATAGTGATGAAGGGGTTAGGAATTAGGACAGACATTTGGACACAGATCTGCAGAACCCCTGCTGGATCAACAGGCAAATTACAGACACCTAGTAACACCTGTTTACCCTGAACTAACTGGAGACTGAATTGGTGGAAACAAATCCAGCCAAAACAAACTGTGTTATAAATACGATAATGCATAATCAAAACATTTCTAACCAAGTGGGTTCAGTTTAATACGGTTAAACATTTAGAAACAACTCACCTCTTTGCAGCTGAAGGTTGCTCTGATTTAAAATCATAATAGTCATCCTTTGACCTGTTGTTCTTTAAGGACACACAGCTGGGTTCCTGTTCAGGTTCTGGTTCAGGTGGTTTCCTGAAAATAAAGATGACTTGGTGATGTTCATGCTGAGCTCTGATGTGGAAAAGAGTCCTAGACAGTTAGAGACGCTGATCTGACCTCTGAGCTTTGCTCTGGTCCTCCGGTTCTCTGCCCCTCTGATCCATGCCGCTCACCTCAGCTCACACACCTCCCACACCTTCCACCTTCATTTGAGAAGGAAAGATATATGAAGGAAAGAAATAGGGCAATATTTAGAGTCATGTTCACTAAAAACTGAGGGATAGTGTAGCCTCCATCAAAGCTTTTAAGTCAGCTCAGCTGGTAAAAGGAGCTAAAAAAGGAAGTCATCTGTAATCAGGATAAAGACAAGGTAGATCTTTATGTTTTAGTAAAATTATCTTTCAAATATCCTTTTTATTTTACCCTTTATAACTAAAACATGGTTTGATGATTAGACTGACGCCTCAGTAGTTCAGTGCTGATGCATCTATAAGCCTATAGCTTATTTTCCTGTTGAATGGGTCCAACCCAGCAAAGAACCGAAACGTTAGATTTAAGATGAGTTTTGTGTAGGGCAGCAACTAAGAAATATTTTGAAAATTGAATAATCTGTCGATTTATTTATTTTTTTTGGTTAATTGATTAATAATGAGATAGCAAAATATTCTTTAAAGTAGACTTTATGTAATTAAACCAGGTGAAGCTCAAACTTTTCCACTTGAGGAGTTCAGAATTGTTTTATTTTTTTATCCTAAATGCAAAATGTTTATATATTTTTTACAATCTTGGTATAATTCCTGCTCTAAGTGGGTCGCTCTTTCAGCTAAAGGCAGGTTTTACCGTCTCTACACTCCAGTTAATCGATTACTGGATTGTTTCAGGCCTTGTATTGTGGATAATCCAGGCGACTGGTGTACAGCTCAAAACATAACGATGGCAACTCCAAGTAAAGTGAAATTTATTTTTTTTTTTTCTAAAAAATTACGTTAAGTCCAAGCACAAGCTACAGGTTGAATAAAAAAGATCAATCTCAATTTCTTGCTTAATAACACTTGTTTTTCTATAAACAATATTCTGCAGCGCTCAGTGTTTGCTTCTCCTCCACCAGATGGTCCTTACACCACAGCTGTTCCACAGAAACTAAACCGAAAATTATTCTGAATCCAAAAATATTCATGTTAACAGTTTTACCATAAATACCAGGAAAATTCTGGCTATTTTTTTCCATGATCATAATAGTCTGGACATTGAGTTTACTTCAATTAGTCTCTAAAATGTTAATTATCTCTATTATTTTGAATGCACAAGATGTAACTTCATATAAGTTTAGACTGCATCTAAATCGAATGTGATTCCATGTGTTATTTAGTGACTTTACTTGGAGGAACACTAACAAATGCACACATATAAATAAATGTAATGTTTATATAAAAAAATTCTTATAAATGGACATTTTTTAATCCACACTGAATAAAAGACTTTGTCTTCAGTGTGAATTTTATAAATCTTTTGTTTGCTGTCAGCAGTTGAAAACCAAATCCGTTTTATTTTGTGCACAGAGTCATGGCCTACAAAGCTGCAAAGGAAAGAGACAAAAAGTTTAAACTTATTTTTTTGTTTGTTAGTTTTCATATTAATTGCAATGAACTAAAGGAGCATAAAGTTAAAGTAAATATTAGTTTGACAAAAATATGTTTAGCCTAAAAACAAAATCCTCCAATAAGAGGAAAACATTTTATGGTAGTAGCTGAATATACATTCCTTTAAGGTTTTATTCAGGTATATCATTTCCCATGTGGGTGTAAATCAAAACATAGTCTGATATAATTCTTTAGAAACCAAAGAAAATGTTACATCACCTCTTGTCTTCACCTAGAAGACAAGAATCCTGAACACAAAATATTTTAACATTATTTAGTAGCTCTAGAAAAGAAATTAAATACACAGTTTTAGTAAATATATTTAAATGTATATATATATATATATATATATATATATATATATATATATATATATATATATATATATATATATATATGTAGCTCCTTGTGCATGGATTTTTTTTAACGAAGAAACTGGAAGTTGACTGAGTTTTTATCCTTAAATGCTTTAAAATTAAAAGTGAAAGAATTTGAAGCAGCCTCAATGATCTTTGTTTTACTGATTTTTTTTAATTTTTATGTAGCTGTCATCAAATTTCATTTATCTCTGTTTCTTATGTAACTTTGCTGCCTCTTGGCCAGAACTCCCTTGAAAGAGAGGTTTTTAATCTCAATTGGATTGTTGAATTTTGAATATATATATTTGCAACATTCATACATCGAATCAGAAATTTCTATTAATCTTAACCCAATAAAAAATTTTAAATACACCGAACCAAGTTTTCACAAAAAATGGTCGATGCGGTGGTCTACTGTTTTATAGTTTATGAGCGTAGGGATCAGGCTCTACGATCAGGAAGCAGATCGCGCACAGTCAGAGTTGAGCGCGCGCAAACCAGGGGAGGGGCAGGGCAAAGGTTGTCAGTCAGGTTTTGGACAAACAGGTGTGGAGAAAAAAAAACACTTCAGACAGGTCTGTGTGGAAATGTCTAAGTTTCATCTAGATTCTATAGTCATATTCTTTATTCTATCATTGCTCACACGAATATGATCACACTATAAACATCCAGGATCAAATGGTTCAGCTGACGCTGAAGCTTAGATGACGCAGGGTTTTTTTTAATCTTTTTTAATTATTATCATAATTTTATCTGCTGGTAACTACCAAGCTTTAGAGAACACAGTAAAAACTGTGTTTAGATGATCGACTCTCAGGGTCCTACCGAATGGAACAAGCTGGGTTCTCACTAACCCGTCTGTGAACCTTCATGGAACTCTGGGATCAGACCAACAGTGTTTGACCGCATATAGATTCTCAGTGCGCCTCTACACGGAGGTTTACAGGCTGCAATCGGGCGCCATCTACTGGAAAGAAATTAACTAAACACTACATTCAGTAATCCTGTACAGCCCCAGTTGAATGATTTCTAAGTATTACTACTACAATAATAATGATAAAACAAAGTATTATTATTG